TAGCTTCATGGTAGATATAAAACTCTACCGAATTTTTGAGAATCTTTAGTTAAGAGATCCATTGTACGATAGGAAATATAACAATTATTATTATGTTATGTTTGTTTTTAAAATTTTAAAAGTACTGCTTAATTAGATTAATTAAAATATAACAATAACTATAAAACCTAGTATTTTTTGTATTTGATTTAGTTGTGTTAATCTTTTTTTATTTGTTTAAAAATTTAGTTATTTATAATCACTGAATGATAGAATAAAAAGCAAAACATAATAATTTTTCATCAAAGATTGAATTGGATATATAATTTTTTTTAAATAACTCTAATTTTTTTATTTATACCTTATAAAAGAATCATTCCAATTTACACAAAGATATATTGTTGGTTATAGGTGAAAAGAAAAAATTCATTGTAGTTGAAATTAATACAATTTTAAAAAATCTCAACCTTAATCCTAAGTACATACACACAAATAACTATTTTATCAATAAAAATTAAATTAAAATAAAATAAATAGCATAATTTTAATATTCTTTACGACCTTATAATTTTATGATCCAAGTTTATTTTATATTTTTTGTGCCATATTAAAATTATGATTTTAATAACCTTGAACTAAAATATAATTTTATTATTTTAATATTTTAAGCTATATTCTACTCAAAATAATACATATTAGATCAACATTAAATATTAAAATACTTGTATGAAAGAATTTCAATTGAGTGTTAAGGTTATACAAGTTAGGTTTAAAGTAGTGTTAAAATACAACCAATATCCAAAAACATTAGATCAACATTAAATATTAAAAGACTTGTATGAAAGAATTTCAATTAAGTGTTAAAGTTATACAAGTTAGGTTTAAAATAGTGTTAAAATACAACCAATATCCAAAAAAACAATTGTGTTTGAGCATTACACCTGTACCCAATAGATGATGGGTGTACATCTAGCACTCCAAGTAATGTGGCCTAAACATAGCATCTAGACCCAATAATAGGTGCTAGCATGCTCAACACCTTAACTAATTGGGTTAAAATATAATGTGCAGGACCCAATATAAGATGCTAGTATACTCACCACCACAATTCTTGTTGAGCATGCCTGTAGCCTAGGCTTGGGCTATCATGTTCAAATCCAAACATGCAATAGCAATTAAAAAAATAGTTTTTTAGATTTATATTTTTTCATGTTAAATTTAAATTTATCATAATAATGTATTAAAAAAAATAAAATAATCATTGCAATTATTATTAAAATTTGACAAGTAAATAAATAGATGTTGGATAGTCTTTGATTAATAAAATTGCATTGCTTGCAATGAAGTACCACACGTGAAAAAACTTTATTCATACTAAAAAAAAAATTTATGTCATCAATGATAAATCTAAATTTAAAGGATAAGAAAAAAGAACTCATAAAACTTATTTTTTTTCTCAATTAAGAAAAAGACTCATTTTTTAAAATCATAAATACATTTTAGATTCTATCCTCGCTATATCCATTAGGTATATAAAAATCCTCAAGTGCCTACCATATTGTTATCCATATTAATACATATATCATTGATATTTTCTCTCATTAATACATGTATTAGAAATATTTCATATCAATATTAATATATATACTAGTGATATTTTTTATATTTTATATTATCAGGATAATATTATATTTTAACTCTTCTTAATCAAAAAGACTCATGTGCTATAAATAATCATAAATTATTTAAATAAAATATTTGAAATCTTCATTCTCTTTGCATATCCAATATTATAGAGTATTTTTTTATAATATTATTATATTTTTTCTTAAAAAGTTATTTTAATTATTGAAGAGTCTTCAAGTTCATCAAGAAATATTTTTTGCAGGTATCAAACATCCATTTCCAACTACCTTGACTAAAAAAAATAAATCAGATTGCCAGAATAAAAAACAATTAATAAACTCATCTTAAGCCTTGTCATGGCCTTTAAGCCCATGAGATATAATTGGATTTCACCAATTAATGAATTTATTTGCAAGATGAAATAATAACAACAATAATAATAAGATAAATATAAGAAGAGGTAGTCTTGTTATTTAACCTAAATTTAGTTTTGTAAACTTAGATTTACTGTCTCCAATAAAATGAAAAAAATAATACCTCTAAAATTCCAAAAAATTTAAACATAATTGTATAAAGTGGCATAATTAGTGTTGTTTAAGTCAACTAGATTTATAATCAAAGTTATTAAAATTAATATGATTTTTGTGTTAACTTATAATTTGGATAACTTGATAAAGACTCAAGTATTGATTTTTTTTTAATTTTTTTGGTTTAATATCACATTGTTTTAGTTTTTCTTTAAATACTCAAAATGTTATTTTTTCATTAAAAAATTCAATAAACTTGGCTTAAGGTGCTGATCTATATGTTTGATATTTATCCTACAACTCAAATCTTGAATTGAGTCATGATTAGGATCGAATTTTATATCTATATTTAATTACTATATTTATAATTAAATGAGACTTAATTTGTGTTTAATAATGTGATGTAAGATGTTTTTCAATTGAAAATACATTAAAAATATATTATTTTTTATTTTTGATAAACACATCAAAAACATGAAAAAAATACTTTAAAAATATCAATTTAATAATTTTTAGGTGAAATATAGTTTGCAAAAAATTTTAAAAAAATATGTTAAACCAAAAAACAAACACTCCCTACTAGGTTGATGAGATTTCAAATAAAAAATAATATGCTACTTATTTATTTATGTATTAAATAAACAAAGCATATACACTACAAGTGTTATTAAATCAAATAAAAAAGCATATACACTACAAGTGTTATTAAATAACAACTCAAAGCATATGCTACTTATTGAATTCATTTATGCATTAAATAAATATTTACATCTTTCTTTATTCCATTAAACATGAATTTTAGTCCGTACATATACCAAAGCACTTCATTGGAAGTGTATTGTTTGATCGATGTTTGTCAGCCTTCTCAGTTATCTCCAGAACTTTCTTTTGGTTTTGAGCATCAATGGCTGCCTTCTTTTGTTCCATTGCCTTTTGCATCTGAGCTTCCTCATTCTTGATTTTCTCATGTTTATGTTGCCTTATGCTCTCTAATTCTGCCTGAAAAGTGAACCAATATAATATTTGTGTCAGTGAGGAACAAATATCAAAATAAATTATCCACAAAGTCTATATTATTTTCTTTATCAATATATCCACTAGATGGATATGACAATCATTACCTCAATCTTCATGGTCTGAGCCTCATGAGATATCTTCATTTTTTCCTCCCATGTTTTGATGTCTGATAACATTCTCCGAGCCCTTTGATTATATATTTAATTTCAGTAAACAAAAATATTTAAAACAAGAAAAGAAAAAAGGTTTCATGCATGTGGGTGTTAATTTCTTATACTTATTAGCTGATTTTGCTTTTTCTTTGTCTTCCCATGCCTTGATATTTCTCTCATTTAGCACTTTGTTCATTTGTTTAAGAGCTGCAATGAACAGGAAGACAATGAACTATTGTTACAAGTGTAATATTCAATATATATAGTTGAATTATAATATTTTTTTCTCATATAAATGGGGTTCATGAATTATCTTTATGATGAGTATCAGTTTTATGCAATTACGTAACTTCAATTGTAATTAATATAATTTTTCTAGCTACGCCATGACAAGAAAAATAAATCCAAGAGATCGGTGTGGCTATCAAGAAAACATGTTATTTTTCTTAGCTTTCTAATCTCAAATCTTGACATTAGTAATTTACTAATTTCTCAAATATATCGTACCGATATGATGATCAGATTACATCTTTAAAATCGTCTGAGAAGAGGATTTAATGCATGCATGAGTGATTAAAAAAGAGGGTCTCCATCAAGGAGCACAAGTGAACAAGAGGCCCAGCAATCAGCATGATGTGAATGCAATGTAATTAACATCAAATTTCTATACCTTCACCCATTTCAACTGTCTTCAAGACAAATATGATGCTCGACTTTGCTGATCTTTCTCCTAGCTCAGCCACCTACCTATTTATAGGAAAGGATTTTGGGTTATGGAAGCTAACCTAATTAAACATTCTGCCACCAAGCATATAATAAATATGGTGAATCTTATGGTGTGGCATACTTTTACTGCTCTACTAAATTTGGGATTTATTTGTATTTACAGGAATTGTAAATGGTCAGATATCTAAAGATTCACAGCTTCTGCATCTCTAATGCTGCATGGATCTTGAAATATCTAAAACTTATTTTAGATTTATTGCAAGCATGTGGAATTAAATGTTGAGCCAAACATTGATTAATTTTTGTCATGTTTATTTTTTCCCTTCCCATCTGTGTAACTCCACCAATGTCATGAGTTGAGTTTTTTAATATTTATGATTTCATATCATATTTATTATTCATCAAGTAAAAATTTTAAATATTAATAAACTATTCATTAGGTTTCAAATATATATATATATATATATATATATGAGTATTATATCAATACTAAAATATGTATATATTATATTAAATTCAGAAAATATAAAATTTCTACATATAAACAAATATATATCTCATATCAGGTTTGGATTAAGTTTCATATTGAATTTGACAATATATAATATCTATTACCCATCAAATAAATTAAATATAAAGAAAAAACCTCACCTATATATTCGAATAAATATCCATCAAATTTATATTAAATTGACATCCCTATGGAGATAGGTCATATGATATCCAGACAAAAACATTAATTGGGTTCCAATTATTCTGTTAAAATTAAGTAGCTAGGTCATATGATATATGAGGTTCCAATGCCATTGTTTAAATCATGCTATGAAATAATTGCAAACTTTGCATGATTGGTTTTGAAAATTATTAATAAATGAATAAATTTTTAATCAAAGAAAGGATAATTCATTTATTTCAATTTTGAAACTTTTGGAATAGGTTCTAAGATTTTAAATCGGAATGAGAACATTGGTAATTTAGTACCATAAGCTCCATTATTATTATTATTATTATTATTTAATGATGATGCTCATAATCTTACATGTACAGATACAAAAACTAGATGTCATAGCTTCAATAAAAATTCAGCTAATGGAATATATACATGTACACACAAACAGGCCTTATTTATCGTCGTTTTCTACGGGAGCCTGGCCAAGAACTGATAATATAACAAAGGCACCATATAATACTGTAACCACAGCAGTGAAGTTGACAAGCAAAGCCTCAGGACCATACTTGTCAATTCCAGAGATTTCAAGGAAAGTAAGCTTCTCCAAACACCCTAAGGCAGCATTGCCAACAGCCAAAATATATACAAAAATCCCAAATAGCACATGCCAGGGGAGAGACTCACTCCTTATTATTGTAGACCCTCCGGGGTAGAAGAACACAATAAACCCATATATCCACTGCAAATTAATTTCCCATTTTTAAAATAGAGTCTTAAAATAAAATAAAATAAGAGGTCGGTCTAGCCACTCATCATTTCATCAAGTGTTAGCTAGCTAAAGTTTCTCAACCTCACCTATGTTTTAATAATTTTAATTAATATTTGTTAATTGATTTTGCTTCGGGTGAAATTGTCGAGAATTTCCATCAACTTGCATGCTGGTGAAAGATCGATAGATTAGGGCAAAGAAAGTCACTATAAAATGAGATAAAAACAGAGTGAAATGAGTGGCTTACCTGAAAACCATAAAGGGAAATGATGGATATGCCAAGCCATGAATGCAAGCTGTATAGGTTGGCAATGTTACTCTCATTATGATTCTTGAATGCGGCAGCAATGCCAACGCTACCAAGTATTATAGCAATGGCATGGAGTACAAGATGTATTACTTTCTTCACTTCTTTCTTCAAAGGAAGAGATTTGTAACTCATAATGGCTGTGTTTGTGTTTGCGTTTTTTTTTTTTGGGAGGAAAAGAAAGTACGAGTAAGAATATTAATATAAAAAAGGCAAAGCTTTAGCAATTAGTTGTTCTAAGAATTCAAAAGGATGTTGAATTACCTTCACCTCCTATGATGATCAAGCCAATTAGCATTAGAACAGGATGAAGCTGTCACAAAAATATACATAAAATTTCTTCAAAATAATTTTTTAATAATAAAACAATATATTCTAAATTAGCCTGAATAGGTTGAGAAATAAATTCAAAGCCCCCTTGCGGCTTATCTTGCTAACCATCCATGGTGGAAGGGGTGACCCTTGAGAGCGCGCAGGGGCCCAGGAGCGTGCTCAATGCTAATTAATTAAGAACACTCGCATGCATGTAACCATGGAAAAGTATGAACTCAGTCTCTTGCTTGGTCAAGCTCAATTGATATAGCTGAACTCAGTCTCTGGCTACTTGAATATTAGCAGTACATGTTTAAATTAATATAGGCTTACATCGTCTTTATCAAAATACTTTTGCTTCTCTCTCGGGTAATTAACAATAATATTTGGAGCATAAAAATTCCAATGACAATATGTATATTTTATAAATCTTGATTTCTTTCCTCATCATTTAATTTAGTGTATTTAGAGAAAATTCTAAAATTTGAACTTAAGAGATTAAAAATGATAAGCGCCTCCAATTCCAAGAATAAAAAGTAGCTAAAGTAAATCAACTTTTTGTTCGATCTTTTGATTTTTCAGGAAGATGGGTTGTGCCACGTCACGAACGGGCACCTACTCAACCTCTTAATATTAATGCTATTGAAGATATTAATTTGATAGACTTCTGTAGGGAAGTGTCCTTGACTTACTGGCTTATAGCCATATTAATATCCATGAGAGATAACCGCAAGAATAAAACAAAAGGCCAATTTTCAAAATAACCAATGCCCGCTTAAGGCTGTTGATCGAATTGAGGGAAAATATCAACTAGAAAAGAAAAGAGAAAAAAAAATTGAGCTAATTCATTAAACTTACGATCCAAATCATATATAAAACTAGAATAATAATGATATAAAAAGTAAATTGAAAAAAAATCATACAATATAGTACTTAATAAATCTAAAAATTTGACTCGATTTAAACAAGATTTACCATCAAAACTACAAAAAAAAAAAAAAAGCCTTTCACTTATCTCACTCGAACCAGGAACAAGGACTCAAGTCAGTAAGTTAACGAGTTAGACTCTCCAAACCAGTCTTGTAACAGTGATATTGATTAAAAGAGACAGATCATCAAATTCCAAACCAATAGCCTTCTGCCAAGCCTTTAAGAAAGGACACGTTCATACCAGAAAACCTTAAATTCTTCTGATAAATGCAAACCTAGTTGATAAGCTCAAACAAAAACGCTTCTGTACAGTACTAAAATAAGAAATGACACAATCGAACAAGAAAACCTTAAATTCTGATGATAAATACAAACCTAGTCGATAAGCTCAAACAAAAAAAGCTTAATTAATCTGAACACTAAAATGAAGACACAAACACAAAAGAAAAACACCCAAGAAAGAATCCATGGAACCAAAGTAGAAAGAAGATAACATGAGGGAGAGACTTACATTGAAGATGAGACTCTTGTTAGTGGCTTCCCATGCTAAGCCACCTCTATAATATAGATTCCAAACCAAGACCATAACAGCAGCAGCAGCAGCAAGCGCATGCGCAACAAACGTTAATGGCAGTGCTTCCACCCCTATAGCCATGCTTGAGTCTTCTTCTTCTTCTTCTAAAATCTTAAATCTTGATAGTTCAAAACTGGGAAAAAAAGAAAAAGGGAGAGAGCCTTTCTCCTTTGATTGTTGACGCTAGTCACGTCTTTTAAATGTTGTTTCCACCAGATACCTCATGCGATTATGACCGTTGGATGGAGATCTTGTTCATGATATGATTGTGCCACGTGGACTTGATTTGGAGGATGAGCTTTATTTATTCAATCCCTCTGGATTCTTCGTGTTTTAGTCGCAAAAATAATTCCTTATTTTAATTTAATGGGTTCGGGTTTTTTGGGACTTTTTTTTTTTTATACTGAGAGTAAATTATACCAATTCCAGTTATGTTTAAATCAATCATTGAAGTTTAGATTCATGTATTTAAATAAAAAATATATATATTTCAGAGCCTCTAATTAATGTTTTAATTCTATATGTCAACATGGTAACGTAATAATAAAGTAGAAATAATTTTTTATTTGTGGGTTCATTTAATTTTGGGAAGCACTGGCTAAAAAATGCACCTAGTCAAGGGAAAAGATATAAAATTTACTTTGAGGGATTAATGGATATGCTAATATCAAGCGCGCAGTCATTTAAAATCAAACACTAAGAATAAATCGAGAACTTGTATAATATTGTAAGTTTTTCTATTGTAAGAAATTATATATTAAGAATAAGAAATATTATTTTTTTTTTTAAAAAAAAAGAACTATCAAAAGAATAAGAAATATTATTTAAAAAAAAAAAGAACTATCATTGAATTTAAGAAAAAATCTTTAACATTCTAAGAGAGTCATGACCTTCGTCTTGTAGAAAAATGGATATGTTTAGACCTAAGACCGAGAACTTGTCGAGTTAGTGTTTGAAAAGAAGGGCACTGAGGCTTGCTTTTCCACGGCGATGAATGACCGCTGAAAGGAGCACCCAGCCATTGCTGCTTTAGCTGCTTGATTTTGATGGGTATTTATGATCGAGATGCAAGTAGACATGATGTGCATGACGTTGCTAAGAGGTCTTCATAGCATAATGCAAGTAGACATGACGTTGCTAAGAGGTCTTCATAGCATATTAGACAGAGAGATATAAAGCTGAAGTCATGTGTGACATTAAGTTGAAGTCAGGACCTTATCATTTCAATGATTCCGTTCAATTGCGAGACTTCTTCTTAAGCTCAGAGATAACTACTTTTTTTAGCCGCTTTAATCTTAAAATTCAATATCCATGCTCCAATTAACTATTTTACATTATTATTATTATTATTATTAAACTCCAGTTATTTCATGCAACTTCAATTCTCTCAACTTAGTTTATTATCTAACCTTGATTTAAAATTAACCCATAAAAATTACCCTAAGATGATTTAATTAGTTTAATGATCTAAAACAATTTGAATAATAAAAAAATATTTTTGGGTTTAAAAAAACTACAAATTATCTTTCTTTTATATATATATATATATATATATATATATTGAGACGATGACATATCAAAATGATTTATTTTTTATAAATTAATCCAACAAACTAACAACCAGATCATGAATTATATAAAATTTAATAATCTTTTTTAAATTATGTTTTACTTAATAATATAATAATAAAAATATATATTTATATATTAATTGAGCACCAGTTAAGTACTAGGATGTTTGTTTGAAACTGAGATAATCTCATATAAAAAATTAAAATAAATTATGAAGAAAACAATTCAAAATTAATTACATATTAAATGATAAAATTACTATAAAAAAAATTAAAGATTCAATAAAAAAATAGAAGCTAGAATTTTTAAAAAAAATAAAATTATTTGATATTATTATTAAACCAAACTTAACAAGTAAACTTTGAAACTTCCCAACATAACTCCTTATCTATTTTAAATTTAGAATTTAAAATTAATATTTATGAGAGTTGACATTACATGATTTAGTTAGCTTGAATGGTTTAAAGACAATTCAAATAACAAGTAAAATTATAGTTTTATTTTTAAAAAATTTAAAATAATATTTTTTTTTAATTTTAAAATAATAATATATTACATAAACTTAAACTTCACTTCATAACTTACAAAAACTCACAATCCATCATATATTCATATAAAAGGAAAGGAAAGTTTGAAAAATAACAGTGAAGCACCATAATAATGAATTTTTTTAGCGAGTAATTATGAGTTGCAGGTAGCTTATGAAGGATGCACTGATTTGATCAACGCTCCAACTTGCCAATTGTAATAGTTCTTATCATGCTAAATAACATAGTATTATGTGTGTTGAGAATGCTTCTTCTTCTTCTTCTTTTTTCTTTTTCAATTAAGTACCAGAATGTTTGTTTGAAACTAAGATAATCTCATATAAAAAAATTAAAATAAATTATAAAGAAAACCAATTCAAAATTAACTACATATTAAATGATAAAATTACTACAAAAAAAAATATATTAAGGATTCAATAAAAAAATAGAAGCTAGAATTTTTTAAAAAAATAAAATTATTTAACATTATTATTAAACCAGACTTAATAAGTAAACCTTGAAACTTCCCAACATAACTTCTTACCTAGTTTGAATTTAAAATTAATATGTATGAAAGTTGACATTACATGATTTAGTTAACTTGAATGATTTAAAGACAACTCAAATAACAAGTAAAATTATAATTTTATTTTTAAAAATTTAAAATAATATTTTTTTTATTTTAAAATAATAATATATTAGATAAACTTAAACTTCACTTCTTAACTTACAAAAACTCACAATCCATCATAATAGATTCGTATAAAAGGAAAGGAAAGTTTGAAAAATAACAGTGAAGCACCATAATAATGAATTTTTTTAGCGAGTAATTATGAGTTGCAGGTAGCTTATGAAGGATGCACTGATTTGATCAACGCTCCAACTTGCCAATTGTAATAGTTCTTATCATGCTAAATAACATAGTATTATGTGTTTGAGAATGCTTCTTCTTCTTTTTTCTTTTTTTAAAATCAAACTTTGCTTTATAAAATGGTTTGATAAAAATCAAACCCAATGAAATCCACCTCAAGACAAAACCAGACAACCAGACAACATTTGGAAAAAAGTTATGTGATTAACAAAAGTGTTTAAATCTATATTAAAAAGTACTTTTTTAAAAATAAGTATAATTAGAACATGAATAAGAGTAATTAAATGTATAATATTTATTGTTAGATTTGATAGGAGGAATAATTCAGAAAAAAAATATTTTTTTAGTTATGTGTAATTTCAATCAATCAAATTAAGATTTTATATGTTTCAATTTAAAATTTAATTAGGTAAAGTTTTAAATCTCAAATTTTCTGAATGAACTACCTAAGTGGAGCTGAATTTAACAAATAATAATAATAATAATAAACACCTTTTCATATGTAATTCCTTTCCCCCAAATAATCTTTTTTTCTTTTCACATATGTTATTTTTCCACATTAAAAATAGAGAATCGACTAGTGGCATGGGATCTTGGGTCAATGCTGTGGTAAGCCCATCTAGCTAGAGATTATTTAGACGAGCAGCTAAAAGCCCTCATGAAAGGGCATGCAGAGAAGGCTCGGCCAGAAAATCCAACAGCTTTCAAAATTCAAAGAACCAAGCCTACGGTCCTCTCTTCTTTTACTCTTGTTCACGTCTAAAGTTAATTTCCTTCATGAGAACACCTTGCAAGGACCACGAAACAGGGCCTTCATTAGATTCATTCTCAAAAGAACATTTAATTTAAATCCATGTCTATAAGATCCAGATTTCTGCTCGTCTTGTAGTACACCTGTTTTAATCTCTTTAGTAACCATTAAAATAGTATATTTTTAAAATTTTATTTTTCACTTCAACATATCAAGACAATCCAAAAAATAAAAAAATATATTTTAAAACTAAAAAAAATTAATTTTTTTTAAAAAATGCACATATTTTAAAACTAAATTTTTTTTAAAAAAAAATACAGTTGAATTGGGATATTAAACAAGCCTCGATGCAGTTGAATTGGGATATTAAACAAGCCTCGGTAGCATCTAGTTTACAATACGTGTCAAATACTCACACTATTATTAATATTGGTATTATCCGCCGTTCTTGATGACAAAACCAAATTGCACACAGACATCATATATGGTTCTATCTGTTGACAAATCTTAGAGTGCTTCTCCTATTTGTGCATTATGATATTAATGAGTCGTTTTCTTGACTAAGCAGGGGAGGAGAGGTCTCCTTTACTAACTTATAACGACATGAAAAGGAAAGGAAAGGAAATCATCTTCCTAACACACCAACTACATATATAGGGATCCTCAATCGGATACCTTAAGTTGTTTTTCCCTTTCATTTCAATTAGATTTGAAAAGTTTCATAAGATTCTGTAACGAGTCTTCTTTTTCATATAACTCTAACAGTGATTCTATCAAATCCCATCATTTTCCCATAAAAAATGATGCCTTTTTTAAGTTAGAGTAATGAAAAATGTGCTCAGAGTTTAGGCATAAAAATTAATTGAGAAATTTTGAGTACTTAAAAGAGACTCAATCGAAACGAAATTCTTTTGGGAACTCAATTGAAATTTAAGGTATTATTCATGGTTCAAATTTGAGGTTGACCCTGAGTTAATCATTGTGTCTCAGTGGAAGCACAAGCTTTATCCATTTCGATCTACTACAAGTACAAGAAAATTTGTGCGATTTACGACTTAATCCATGCTAGATTTGTGAAAAAACTCAGGTACTGTTTTCTCAAAACCACTTCATTTTAAGATTTCTCTGAAGTTTTGGGTTTACCGATCAACTCACAAAACAAGTAATCTACGTCTTAAGCCAAGTCAACCCTCAATTCAGGTTCTATAGCTATGCGAACAAGGAACCAGAAAGACATGATATTACGATAAGAATGAATGAATCTTTCTGGGACAGCTTCGTTGTAGCTAGCTAATAGAAACTGTTTGGCAGAATGGCCGGCTGCCGGTATTAAAAAGTTGAATTTTTTTTTTAAAAAAAATTATATCTTGTTGTTAAAAATAAATTTTAAAAAATAATAAAAAAATTTATATCTTGTTGTTAAAAATAAATTTAAAAAAATAAAATAAAAATATATTTTTTAATAATTTTCTTTTTAAAAACAACGCTAACATACTAACAAATACTATTTTAGTCCATGGCCCCAAAGTTATGCCCCACCATCGTCCAAGGGAAAGCACAAAACCCTTATTTTGCATCTTAACTAACACTTCCAATAATCGTGATCTATATAATAGATGTGATCCCATGATAGTTTCAGTTTAGCAATCTCAGTAATGCAAGTATGATTGCAAGGGCCGAATCTAGGTCGTGGCAAGGGGGCAAAATTGTATAATTTTTTATTTGGGAAGGCTATTCCGTAGTTTTTTTATTTATAAATATATTAAAAAAACAGAGGAGATTTCAAAGCATACTAAAACTTTAGAAGCGAAGGTCCCTCTTAAAAGAAAGAAAGGATTGAAAAAGACGAAGAAGACGAGTTCATTTACCTCTTAATCCAAACGCCTCCTCGAAGCCTGCATAAGAAAAAGGTTGTGGGTTCGAATTTTCAAATGGGAGTAAACTTCATTTCCTAAGCACTAAAAAAAAATCGAAACCTCTAGGGTCTTGTTCACACAAATTCAGAACTCCTAGTCCCATGATCATTTAAAATCTGGACACACACACTAAACCAAGTCCTTATACAATTGCAAATCTTCACCAGCTCCTATCAAGATTAATTGAAAACTTTAGAAAAATTACGACTATGATGCTATAGGAAAAAAAAATCCCATATTCATGGAATAAATGATAATATGCATAGCTGTAGTGGTGGTCATAAAAAAGATAGTAAATAAAAGCTTACCCAATTTTTTCTTGGTCCACAGCTAAATCTCATTTTTCCATTGCATCAAGGTTGTTACCGTGAAGTAACAGGAACTAATTCAAACTTTATTTCCTGTACTCTGACCAACTTTCTAAAAAAGCTCAAGGAGCCACTAATATGACACCGGAGTCGGAGTTCAGTATTGACAAAATTCAGAGACGGGTGTATTGATTGCACAGTACGAAAATTAGTTGCTTCTAGTCAACAAGGTAGGTGCAAGAAATTCTTCCATTGTTACCTTGATCAATCCAGCACCTTCTCTGGGGCAACCCTTTCTCAAAATCGTTTGCCTCTGACAATTTGATATTCCTATCGTATAATTGATGTTCAGGACAACATCGGAACTTTAACCTAAAATTAAAAGACTATCTGTGTGGTACAAGACATACCCCCAAAAGTGCAGGGTCATCGGTAGTGTCATTTAAAGCTTTCTGCACGACAGCATCTCATGCCTTCCTGCATTCAAAAGAAAACTTTTGCTAGGGTACCCCTGTCACAGCAATACCACATGGTCTGATCAAGCTAGGCACGTATTCTAGTTTTTTTGCTCTGTGACTGATTCATTTTCTAATCACGTTTTAGTCATTTTCAGCTCTAATTTCCAAACTTTCTGCTGCATCTAAATTTTACTTAAAGGACACCAATATAAAACACCACTACTCACTGCAGCCCTCTTTGTCGCTATCTGGTTTCTTCTGGGTTTCACAGTTGAGAAGAAACCGAAGCATAAATTGTTTTGTCCTGCTCATAACAAAGTCACACTTGTTTCAGAGAAGATCAAGGTTAGAAGTACTGAAAACTGAGTGACTCTTTTGGTGAAGATTCTCTAAAGAATCTACAATAAGGTCACATCATGTTCAAGTCATGGAGGAACGTAAAGAAAAAGATCAAAGCTACATTCAAACTGCAATTTCAGGCAACTCAGGTACTAATCTAACAGATACTAAGTATTCCCTGTTACTGATTCGAAAAGGGTTTTGTTTATCTGGAATCAATAATTACATTGTGAGTGTATGATAAGGTGTGTGGTGATATAATGTAGGCAATGTGATTGAGTAATTCAGGATACTAACAAAACGCTTACCTTATTTCGCGTCTCCATTTTAGGTGCCACGCCAAAAGAAACCTGCCTTGATAATATCCTTGGTGCCAGAGGATGTTGGAAAGACAACATTCAAACTAGAGAAAGCTGCAGTTCAGGATGGAATCTGTTCATGGGACAATCCAGTTTATGTGACAGTGATACTCATCAAGGAGCCAAAATCAGGAAAGCTGCATGAGAAAATATACCATTTCATTGTTTCAAGTGTACGTTATACTCACAGTTAAAATCTTTACTGATTCTCTAAGGCATAGTGTTTTGTGTACGCATGTGTTTGTTTTCTGATTCCTATGAATTCCTGCAGGGGTCATCCAAATCAGGTTATCTGGGAGAAGCTTCGATTGACTTTGCAGATTTTGCTGATGAAACTGAACCGTTGTCTGTCTCCCTGCCCCTTAAATTTGCCAACTCTGGTGCAGTTCTACATGTTAGTTCTCTCTCTCTCTCTCTCTCTCTCTCTCTCTCTCACTCACACACACACACACCTGTAATTCTCTTGATTTGACCCTTTTCCTATGTTTGATTCACTCCTAGAGCTAGAGCAATGTCTATTTTCAAGAAGTAAATAAGTATTTTCAAGAAGTAAATAAGACCATGTCATTTCGTTATCAAAAACCTTCCATTGTTTCTCATGTATCAAGTAATTTGTGAAACAGGTGACCATTCAGAAGATGCATGGAGATTTTGATCCAAGGTGAACACGAGCATTAACAATTCATTTATGCATTTATTTCTCTTTTTTCTTTCATTTTACTTTCTAGTCTAAAGTTTTGTTTTTCCCATCTCCTCTGCTGCTAATTTACTTACTGGACTTTGTAATCTCAGAAAAATTGAAGACAATGAAGATCCCATACTTTCTAAAGACAGAAACTTGAAGAACCAGCTGAGCAATGGCTACACAGACAAAAACGATGGAAGTTTTAATGAAGTAAGGTCTAAATTATCTATTTTGTTTTAACACAGTTCAGGAAGGGCTGGACTGAACAAGTTCCTTTTGTCATATCTTAGAGATAGATGTGCTGTTTTTCAAGGTTATAATTGATCTATTCCTTGACAAATCTCACAGGACCAGGACTCGGACATTGTTTTATCTGAACAAGACAGCAGCTTCAGAACTTCCATTGGTGGAAATTCTAGCTTCAAATCAACACTCAGACAAGATTCAATGCCTCCAAAGGGAGCAGTTGATGCTATCACACCGAAAAACCACTTGCATTGTAGGACAAGCACTGATTGGTCAATGGGTTCAATGTCAAACGGAAGGTTAGTTGACTCAACAAACAGCCCTGAAGAGAACCTTCCAAGAGAATTACAAGAAACCTCAGATGAATCCATTGAAAAACTGAAAACTGAATTATCTAATCTAATGAGGCAGTCAGAATTATCAGAACTGGAATTACAGACTCTTCGGAGACAGATGACAAAGGAGAGCAGAAGGGGGCAGGATTTGTCAAGACATGTTAAGGACCTTGAAGAGGAGAGAGATGCACTCAAAACAGAATCAGAACTGGAATTACAGTCTCTTCGGAAACAGATGACAAAGGAGAGCAGAAGGGGGCAGGATTTGTCAAGACATGTTAAGGAACTTGAAGAGGAGAGAGATGCACTCAAAACAGAATGTGAACAACTCAAGCGCTCAAATGAAGGAGAATCCCTGAATCAATTGCGAGCTGAGAATGAGGATTCTAGGGTTCAGCTAGAAGAAGTCAGGCGAGAACTTAGTCATCAAAAGGAATTGAACACCAATCTTAAGTCGCAACTCCAGAAAACACAAGATTCAAATGCTGAGTTGATTCTTGCTGTGGGAGACCTTGATGAAATGCTGGATCGAAAAAATGTGGAAATATCTTCTCTGTCTAGCAAGCTTGATGAGGTTCAGGAGAAAAATTGCAAATGCAGCAAGAAAGAGGACACAGACCAACAAGCAGTGCTTGCACTGGAAGAAAATACTAGGGAAGATAATGAATTATGTCTACTGAAGCAAAGGGTGATAGACCTATCTGATGAACTTGATGTCTACAGGGAAACTAGAGAAAAGCTGGAGAATTATATCGAACAACTCACACAAGACTCTGAAGATCTAAAGAGAGAAAACCATGATATCTCTTCCAAGTTAGAGCAGGGCAAGCTACAAGAACACAAAACCTCAGAATGTTCAGCTACTATTAAAGAACTTGAATCACAGGTACAAAGATTAGAGGAAAAATTGAAGATGCAAACGAAAGAATTATCAGAATCTTTGCTTTTCATCAACGAACTGGAAAGTCAGGTCAAAGGGTTGGAGAAAGAACGGGAAAAACAGGCACAAGGATACGAAAATGACCTCGATGCCATGACACATGCCAGAGTTGAGCAGGAACAGAGAGCTATCCGTGCAGAAGAGGCCTTGAGGAAGACAAAGTGGAAAAATGCTGCTACAGCAGAGCAGCTACAGGAGGAATTCAGAAAACTTTCAGTGGAAATGGCAGGAAAGTTCGATGAGAATGAGAAGCTGACAATGGAATCAGTAGTTGAAGCAAACGAGCTCCGAATACAGAATAGAGTTCTAGAAGAGAATCTTAAGAAATCTAACGAAGAGCTTGCAATGATGACAGACCAGAACAGAGTAAAAATCGAAGAATTGTCAATGCAACTAGATTTGAAAACAAAACATATGGAGCAGATGTCAGTGGAACTAGAAGATGCTTCCAACAAACTGAAGCATGGAGGAGAAATGCAAGAGGCTTTTCTAGCAGATGTTCGAATGCTGAAAAGTGAGATAGAGACCCTAAAAAAAGAGAAGAATGACATCTCTGAAGTGGAAAAAGAAGTGAAATTAAGAGATGAAACTGAAAAATTGAAGACATCGTCTGAAGAAACAAAGATACAAACAGAAATACAAAAAAGTGAAAGAGATGAAATAGAAGAAATATTTGCATTGACAAAGAACGAGGCAGAAAACACGAGGCAAGAATTATTCAATTTGAAGTCCTTAAAGGATGAAAAGGAGGCAATGATCAAGAACCTTTCATTGGAACTTCAAAGCCTCAGAGATCTGCAGATTGAGCTAAAAAATAGCCTGTCCGCAGAAGAACAGGAGAAAGAAAAACTTCAGCAACAAGTACTCGAATTAAAAGGTAAGCTGCAGAAGAAGGAACAGGAAAATACTAGTTTCATGAAGAAACTCACATTTTCAGATGAAAAGAACTCAGTGCCAATGGATGGCAGAATGCAGATCAAATGTGCTGCAACTAATACTGCAAATGTCAATGACTTCCAAAAAAGAAATATTGGGGAAGACTTGCTGAATTCTGAGATGCACACTGCAGGATGCAAGGGTATTGAAAGGTACAATTTGAAGTTTGTTTATAATGATTATTGTGCTTTCTCATATATCTACCACCTTTTTCTGAGTAATTAATTTCCAACATGGAGATAAATCGAAGCATGCATTGTGCATCCAGATATGTTTTAGTTCGTGATCATAGCTGTCACTGAAATTAGTTTCATTCTTCAATATTTTTTATGACAGAGAAGCAAAAACTTGCTCGAAGGAAGAACTGAGAGTTGGCACTTTCCACTCAATGGATGAGGGTTACCTGATTGAACTGTTGACAGAAATGGCACAGCTAAAAGAAAGGAACAAATGTATGGAAACTGAGTTAAAAGAAATGCAAGAGAGATATTTAGAGATAAGCCTCAAACTTGCAGAAGTAGTAGGTGAAAGGCAACAGCTTGTCATGACTGTACGCAACCTCAAGAATGGTAAGAGGCACTAGCATTCTAGCTCTCTAAGATATCGGATGTCAGACACAGCAATGAAGCATTGGTAATGCAGCTGCTAAAGCAAGCCTCTGATGAGCAAGATTGTTGCTTGACTATTCTTTATGCATATTGTAAATGGAAGTCTAGGGATGCTCGAGAAGCAGGTCCAGAGTTCAGAAAGGAATAGATGTTTCCTTAAAAATATAGTAATTGCACACTCCTTTGCTTTATACAGATTTTGTGTATTCCTTATTTGTGATGTTCATGTAGCTAATCTAGTTGAAGTATTGGTGCCTAACCTGAATTGTGGCTGTATTGCAGAAATTAAAAGCATTAGAATTTTAAGATATTCCAATGAGTTTCCAAATTGCAGACATCACTGTCTAGAATTTAGGTTAAACAATGGAAACAGTTTTATGTTCATGACTTCATTCATACCTTTCACGTTATTTCTGCCTGAACTGAACGTGTTTTAGAAATCCACTTATATCTAAGATTCTTTGTTTCATAAATTTGTCGAACTTTGTTGTATGATACAACCATGGATGTGACAATGATATCTATGTTAACCGTGTTGAAAGAAATCAACCTATCATAGCTATGTCCGTTAAGTAAAAAAATTAATTACTTTTTTACAGAACACAAAGGTTATGATATTCCAAAATTATAGAAAGCACAGGAAAGGGTGGCATTGTTACAGGATTTAAAGAAAAGCATAGCATTGGTACAGATGTTTAAGGACCAAAATCTAACTTTATCAACATAAACCCAAACATCTATACCTTTCTTTCCCTTCAATTTCTCCTGAGCTTTTTGCTCATACGGTGGGCACTTCCATCACTCCATACCAGCCTAGTTTGGTTTCCACCATCCATTGCAAAGGATAAAGTCTACATTTGATGAAGCTTCTTATTACGATGACAATTTAATACAGAAAAATGTCTCATACAAAAGGGTTCACGTACCATACCTGTTTTGATCTCTTATCCTTGGGTGTCCATGTTGGAATTAGGGATGCGGAAGTTCTTTCCTTCTGGGATGAACTTGACAATTGAATAGGTTGTTTCTGCTTCTTCTGCTCATATACTTTTCTAGGAGTGCTTCCTCCCTGGTACTTGAAAAAATCAAGAATAGACAGGCTTCTTCTCTCAGTAGCCTTTGATATATATCCTGAATTCCAATAATCTGGAGTACATGTATCAGGTGGAAGGGACTGCTGCCGCAATCTGCTCTTTTCCCTTACTCTGTTAAGAAACTCTATTGTCCAGGGTGAACCTGGTTGTGGATGAGCAGAATGGATGGCTTTAGAAAGTGGTGTTCCACTTCCACCGCAATGTGATATCTCCTCTTCAAATGGAAACCTGGTAGATTTTCCTGCAGCTCTCAGTGTAAAAGCCTCTTCTAAGAGATTTTTCCTGGGTTTTACAGGCACTTTTTCATGCTTATCATCCATAATTGGGTCACCACGATTTTGTGGTAACCTTTGTCTATCATTTTCTATAGGGGTCCATAAATCTGGACAAGAGTTTTTCTCAGCAGCCGTTGGATTATTAGGGTGACTATTCTTACCAAATGACAGTCGTCTTGCAGCTTTCGACTTTCTTGCAGAATCTTGTTCGATATCAGGCATCCAAGGTGAGAAATATGTAGAGTTAGCAATAGAAGCAACGTCTTTCTCCAACGAGACGGGATCATCAGTGAGGTCTATGACTTCACCTCTAAAGTACTCATGCAGGTTGTTAGCGTTAGATTTACAAGGATTGCCGCTGTCTAACTTCAACTCCTTGATATTTATTTCGGATGCCCGATTTTGACCCAGAAATATATCGTTCAGTGGTAACCTGGGCTGTCTTATGTCATCCCGAATCAGAGGATCTTTGAAGTTTCCAGAATAAAGTGGTTTCATGGAAGTAGGAAAATCCATCACCGGAGCAATATCCGGTACCTGCTTTTGACCAAACAAATCTTTCAAAGATGAACTATGTTGGTTCAACTCACCAAGCATCTCGGGATCTGTTGAAGTCCAACAATCATATTGCTTAAACATTCCAGGATCCAGCATACCATCAGTGAATTGGTTCAGTGATTCAGATTTCCACATGTCATCCACTTGAATGTCAATTTTTTGAAGGCTATTTATGCATTTTCTTCGTTTTCTTTCAGAATCAATAAGAAGATGAAGTTTATCTGAGTCAGGACAAGAAGATGCAGAGGAGGAACAGTCTGTCATTATGGATCTAGAATCCTCCCGCTCACCATATTTGCACAAAGCACTAAATAGAGCTACACTTTCAACTGGAACATGATACTGTTGGACTGCAAGGATCCTGCGTTCATGTGACCATTCAAGAAACTCAATAAGCATGCCTCCAGAAGACAGAATTGCATGTGCTGTCAGTGGATTAATTGATGGAAATTTGGTAAGGAAGGATTCTGCAAGAGTTTCTGATTCAGGCATTTTAGGATATCTGCCCCTGGAAGACTTAGTGGCATACAAAATACTGTTTAATATAATTTCATCGGTCAATTCAGCTGAATAGGAAGAAAAGAGCTGTAGGTCAATTCCCAGGCTTGCTGCAGCTGCGTAGAGTCCATCAGAGAATTCCATTACAGTAGAGAGGAATCTGGTTTCTCCTTCAAAGACCTGCAGAAAATGTAATATGAAAGGTAAGAAACAAAGTTCCAAAATAGCAAATTATTCATGAAGGAGAGGTAATTGAGAAGAATATCCTAAAGAAGAAACCTTCATATATCAGTCAACCTTATTATGGCCAAAGTAAAATACTAATACATGCACATTATAATTTATGCACCAACGGATTTGAATTTTTTCCAAAATCCCTTGCAAGAAAAGATCAAAATTGCGTAACATATGCACATAATTAATGTCAAGAAAGTAATATCTGATGAAGCTAACCTATCAAAATGATCATAATTTAATGTACACCACTAAGATGCCATTAATTATGAATATGCTGGAGAAAATGCTTTCAGAGTTCCTGTTAGACATTTTTGTGCTACGACAAAAGTTAATGTTTCCTACTGCTAGGAAGAAAACCTGCACGTACAGTGATTCAGTAATTCAACAATTAGATGATAGACCCTATCCAGCATAGTATTGTATTCAACCTAGAGCTTTTTCATTCATAAGTGGATTGCTGCTTCACCATATCACAAGAACTCCAGAAAAATGCACAAGTTTCATTCTTCTAAAGACTGGACTACTCTACATAGAACTGGAGTAGGAAAAAAACAAAGGAAAATATGTGAATTATAACATCATAATATACAGGAATTACCAGAATGCAGCCACTGAAAGCAAAACTCAGCAATGTCAAAACATTTGCAGCAATATTCTCAATGCACAGAGGTAAGCATGAAGAAGCTTCATCTGCAGCAGTTGCTTTCTTTCCAATATTTCCACAATCATACCACACTAAGCAAATGGAAGAACTAATAATCACGTCAACAGGCAGATTCAAGTCACGCTCCACAACTTGTGCTCCTTCTTTCTCCATCGCAAGAATTCTTTGGTATGTACTTCTTCTGGATACTATCATTTCCTTGTCAAAATTTTGAGTATTCACAATAAGGACGATGTCAGGGAAATAAATCATGTCCCCCGGAGTCTCTTCAGTTTTTGTTGCATAGGGTGCATAAGGAACTTGAAAAGGGACGCTGCAAGCTTCTGCTTTATCTGCAGCTTCTGAAGATGTCATATGAAACTTTTCTGCTTTATCTGCAGCTTCTGAAGATGTCATATGAAACTTTTCTGCTTTATCTGCAGCTTCTGAAGATGTCATATGAAACTTTTCTGCTTTATCTGCAGCTTCTGAAGATGTCATATGAAACTTTTCTGCTTTATCTGCAGCTTCTGAAGATGTCATATTAAACTTGTCCTCAATAGGTGCAAGATTTAGCAGTTCCTCCAATTTCTTGTCATCGATATTCTCATTCATACCAGGAACTGAATGAGATTTGCTTCCCTAGGATGAAGTTAATGCTAGGTTAGTGATATTTAGTAGTAGAATTATGTTTGCAGAATAAGTTAAAATTGTAATTGAGAATATAGTTTGCAAAAACATCATTAGGAAGAGAGAGGCAGTTTATGGGAGGAGATAAATCTCAGTAGAATGTCAGTATGATAAATCTCAGGAGATAAATAATCCTATATTTACCTTAATTCTGTTCACACTCAAAGCAAAAAACTGTTACTGCAATGATTAAGGAAAAAAAGAAAATTTCTTCATATAGTAAGAAGGCAACAGGCCCAAACTGGAAAGATTTGTTTCACTTATTTAAGAAATTTACCTTGGGAAATGAAGCCCTTGTATCAGGAATCTTGACTGTAGATTCATTTTTTCCCCTAGCAGTAGCTTTCCCAGGATTCAAGAAATAATCAAGATCATTGAATTGTGACATAGAATTGAACAACAATGAAGCCTTCCTGGCATTTTCTCCAATTAATGTTTCTCTATTTCCTGTTTCTTGACCTCTATCCAAAGACTCACTTGAAGAACCTTCCACATGTCCACTGTTGGGAGTTTCAGAAATCACATTCAACAGTTCCTTATGTTCTTCCATGTGTGCCCCACTCAAACCATTATCAGAGAAAACAAGGTCAATCACCAACTTTCCACCATCAAAGGATTCCCTATCAAAATCAATGTTGTGTGAATACAACTCCTCCAACATTTTTTGATTTATGGATGAATTTTTACCGTTGTAATTATCCTCCTCCAAGAGATGCCAATCCAAATAAATCCCATGGGATGCAGATAGGGGTTGTGGCTTGAGTTCAGCTAGTTTTTCCTCCATAATGGCATTGATCGAACTTCTCTTGTCAGGATCAGAAAAAATAGGTATAGGCAGAGATTTGAATGTGTCATCTTCCAGTGTCAGTTCACAACTAACAATCAATTCATCAAAATTCTTAAAATTCATATCTTCTCTGAACATCGAGTCACATGTTTGTGGTTCATCTGTTGACTGCATTTCAAAGAAGACTTCATAAAGTTGAGATGAATCCGTCTCAAGGAATTTGAATTCCTGGAAAATAACTGCGTTCATTGGTGAAAGACAATCTGCAGAGTCTTCACGACCCTGTGGAATTTCCACCATGCTTATAATGTCCATTCCCAAGGATGTATCTCGAGAAGCCAGCTCAGGTTCAAGGCATTGCTCTTCTGGACAATGCTTTGAAAGAAATTCTAAGATATTAAACTGCATCGAACCCAATAGCTCTTTCCCGTCAATATGCAGGATATTTTCTTGACCCCATTTGGACTCAACATGCTCAAGAAATAAAAGAAACTCATCTTCCATGGATGGGTTTGTGAAAGTTCGAAGACTCATCTCTTCAACTTCTAAAAGAGGGAATGTGTTATGATGAAAATGTGCTTGCTCCTGAACAGAACCATCATATTCCAGCACACAAGCTTTTTCATCCATGTCAAACTCTAAAGTGACATCTTCAACTGAATAAACTGATTCCTGAACTTTGTCAGGATATTGCATTTCAATCTTAGGCCTGAGCAGATCCTGCAAGTGTAGAAAAAATCAACAAATAAATAAAACCACATGATGATTTATGAATGCCATAATCATAAAAACCTGAGCAAAATCTTAGTACATATAACTATTTAAAAAACGTCTAGACCAGACAACTTTGAGCAGCAAAATCTTTGTCTAAGCATCGGACAATAAGGGTAAGCAATGAAAAGCAAGTTATCGTAGTACATATAACAAAGTAAAAAATTATAACCAACTTTCCAAAACTGAAGTGAATGAAACAACTCATTAGTATTTGTTCATTTACTTCCGAAAAAACAAACAAACAAACAAAGGTAAATGAGTGAAACAGGTGACTGCAATCAGCACATCATATTCTTTTCATACATTCATTACTGTATTACACCATTTTCCGGAATGGATCAGATAAGAGAAACAACGAGACCATCACTTGATGAATTTGTACTAGTCACCATAAAATGCTTCTTGTATTTCCATCCAAATCTTTTAAAACAAATAATATATATCTCAAAATTACAAGCAAAATGGCACAAACGAGTCAACAATATTTTAAGAAACAGAATTGTCCCAAAGATTTAAATATTCCAATCCTCATGGAGTCACTTACCCTTTAAATATTCCAATCCTCATGAGTCACTTACCCTTTATCACTTTACATAACACAACTGGTTCTAAGGAGACTAGTGCAAAATCACATGCAAGCACATTATACAAAGACTCTGAGTTATATAGCATGGCTCAGACACTTACCAAATCATTCTCAATCTCAGAAACTTCAGAGAGGAGTTGCATCCCTTCGTCAGAGAAGCACACATTCTCCTTCAAAAGCACACAAAACACAGCACATAAGCACAAAATCTCCTGGCACGTGCACAAGGAAAATGTATCTGTACCCGCATATCTAACTAACTCTCTAAAATATTGATCTTTACCAAGAATGTATCAATCTCTGGTGCTTCCAATTGTATAACTTCAAGCCTCTCCGAATGTTTATTGTTCCCATTATCTTTCTGCAAGAGCAAATGTCCTTTATACATCAGACAAATCAAACCAAATTAATTTAAAAAAAAAAACTTTTAAAAAAAAGTTCAAACAGAATTCCTATTTCACTCATTTCGAAACTCAACCTCTTGAGCTGAATCAGTTCCAAAGCCTCTCTCTGTCTCCTCTTCCTTCTGCAAATTGAACACCAACTGTGAATATCACATTAGGTAAATACAAATGTAATCTAAAATCACTGTTTCACCTTGAAATCATTTTAAAAAACAGCGCAGAATAAGCCAAATTTAACATCATCAATTAAAAAAAGGCAAAAAACAGAGGCTGTTAATTCAAAAAATGATAATTTAGTTCTCTTCTATTTCCAACTCTGATGTTCTTTAACTTGATCGAAGCATAGTAAAAAAAATTAATTAAGAAAAAAGAACTGAAATAAAATTAAATTAAACTATAACTTAATATAATTTTCTAAATACTGATAGAAAAATAGAAGCCGAAAAAAAAATATTAAGGGAGAAAAACAGAAACAAAACAAGAAAAAATGATGTAAAATATAAAAGCTCCAGTTTCGATAAAAAAGAGAAAAGAATCCACGAATTTGAAAGTTATCAAATAAATTAAGGATAACGCATCATAATCGACAGAAACTAAACAACAACAAAAAAAACTAAAATAAACACGATATTTTGGAAACAGACCTGATGAAACCGATCAGGTAAGAAATCGCGAAAATCAAAGTCGATGAAATGAGGAAGGACTGAGGAGATGAATTTGGAGAGAGCGGAATCGATAGGAGGTCTTTCAATCGGGAGAGAGAGCGTTTCAAGAGGATGGAAGAAGCGAAGGAGACGATGCAGTTCTTGCTCCGGAGGAGGAGGAGCAGGAGCAGGAGCTAAGTGAGGGACTGGAAGATTTAGGAAGCTTAGGGTTTCGACCGGAGAAGAAGAAAAGTAGTCTGTGTTTAGAAAGCGAGTTCGCATTTTGTTCCGATACAGAAGGAGAAGGAGAGGTAACGGACTACTACTTTTTCGAAGCTGAAATTGAAATTGGCGCCTGAGTATTTAAATTCTCCAACGGGATGGTCTTTGCTATCCTCCTGCTATATAAGAGGTGAGTGAATTAATCGAATTATATGTGAAAACTGACTTCAAATTAATCGAACTGAATAGTTTTTTCATTTATTTTTTCATAATCTTAGTTAGAAACAGTTAAGAAGAATTATTTGATTCGGATTTAATTTCAGAATCTGAAAACCGAATAAACATGATAAAAAAAATCACTATAAATTAAAGACTAGTTAAATCAAAATTAAAGCATATTTAATGGTTTTTAAAAATATAAAAAATATACCAAATCAATTTAATAGGTTGGCCTTTTTGAAAAATTCATTTCCACATCTCTGCTAATATAAGTTGAGTATGAGTCTATTAAACTTAAACAAATCGACTTGATTTTCATAATCGTGGTAGTATACAAAATTAGAACCTATTAAATTTTGGTTATACGTTGTCTTAAAAATAAATATATGTATGTATGTATGTATGTATAGATGGGGTGTGGCCTGCCTTCCTTAAACTATTTTTTGTAGCTAACTATATAGATAAAAGACAATCCAAGATGCTTAATTGGAACTTTCTGGATTGCATTTCTAATTGCCGAAAAGTGAAGAAAGTTTTAAACAATTTACAATTTAGACACTCGATTTAAAATACAAATTCATTCTAAAGAAAATCGAAATTAAAATCCAAAAAAAAAAAGAAAAGTTAATTCTTGAAAGATCAACATGTAATATGTTTGAGGCTTTGAGCCCAAGACCAAAAACGGAAGCACAAAGGTGAAAAAGGAATAGCCAATCCATATGTATTTTATTAAATTAATATCTAGTGGATCCTCGACCAGTAATGTCGTTGTAGTATAGTGGTAAGTATTCCCGCCTGTCACGCGGGTGACCCGGGTTCGATCCCCGGCAACGGCGATATCCTTTTGGTTTTTTGTTGAGATTTCAGGTCATTGTTTAGAGTTTTGACCACAAGTAACGGGAAGCAGAGGCAAAGGCACAGGCCATCATAGCATGGTCTTATTAGAGGACAGACTCAATATGGACTTTATATTACAACTCGCTTGACACTACTTTTTTCGAGAAAAAATATAATTTGATGTTGAAGAACTCATGTGGTTTCGTTAAAAAATTAAATTGACCAGATGGTCAAACCCCGCCCATAAACTCATTAATAATTTAAAAAAGAAATTGACCATTTTAATTTTTTTAAATAAAAAGTTTTGTCAGCTCTTTTTTGAGTGTGTTTAAAAATATAATTATATTAAGTTTTTTATAATATGTTTTATTTAGAAAAATATTAAAAATATTTTTTTTTATTTTTAAAAATTATTCATCAAAATAATTAAAAATCCTAAAAATATATTAATTAAAAATAATAAAATAATAAAATAAATATTTTTTACAAGAAAAAACAAAAACATTTTTGTTAACTTGAGAGCCCAACCTAAAAGTACGGATATTATTAGTTAACACTCTACTCTGCGTGTACTGATCCTGTCCCTGTCCATGCCATACAAATTGATATTTTTTTGGTAAAGTTTATCCACTCCCATCACTCTCTCCGGCATTGCCACCGCGTGTACAAGCACTTACAGTTACGTGTCTGGAAACGGACATGTCTTGCATATTGTACACGTGTCAATTGCCCTTCAAGGCCACCTCCATGCAAATGTGGCCACGTTACTGTCTTGTCCCTCTATAAAATTATTCAAATTCTTCCACCACTGCATGGTTATCTTTTTCTTTCAGTAAGTAACTGTTTATTCTTTGGCAATCTACTGTTTTCATCATGGAATCACAGATGGCACGCCCGCATGGTGTTCATGACTATGAGCATGACCCCAACAATGTTGGACTGCATCCTGGTATGAACCTTATTTAACTTGCAATGTTCTTGTAAAGATCATGCAGGCTGAAAATATTTGGTTAATTACTTGTAGGCTGATTTTGTTCTTGTAAATGTGGCTCATGTTTTTGTGTTAATTTTTAGTGGTAAAGGGTGAAGATGGATATCAGCATGAGAAGAAGTCAGTGTTGAAGAAGGTGATGGATAAAGCCAAGAAATTGAAGGACAAAGTCAAATTACATGGTCATGGCCATGACTATCATGACGAGGGTCATGTGCCTGATGATCATGACTTGTACGAGGAAGATGATGATGAGGATGAAGAAATAGTTGAGGACCCACAAGTTCATGGCGCATCAGGTTTGTTGTTACTTGCTTCAATGTCGATCGACAGCTGGTAATGGCCTTGCTTGAGAAAGACAGGCTTAGATTCGTGTGTCAATAAATTTTTGGAATCTTTTTATGTTTTAATTGTGAATCAGATCTGCAGCCTACGATTCTGCTGCTATTAGGAGCTCTGTGCAAGGACAAGGTCGGAGGCTAGGTAACCCTAGGACATCTTATGGAAACCCAACAACAATGCAAAAGGAACATACAGGCACTGATCCAATGAAGAGCTCTCTTCCTGGGCAAGAGGTTCTTGTTGGAAGGACAACTGCCTTAAAAGAAGTACCCCATGCCCCAGTTAATTCACCAGCATCTGTTTCTCCAGCAACTGTTGAACAAAGAAGAGATGCTTATCCTGTTAAGGGTTTTGTTCATGAACAAGAAAGGATACGAGGGCAACCTGAAATTAATTTGAAAATGCCAGTAGGATTGGAGGAGGATCCTTATGCTCCAAAAGGTAGACTTGGTGATCATGCTCCTTCGAATTATCAGACTAAAGTCACTGATCCAACTGGTTCTGGTAAGTTCTGTTCAATATAGGCATGCAAGCAATGCTTTTTGGTATTGATGATTGAGCAAATTTTAGTCTTCCAGAGGGTCTAATTCTTGCACTTTTCAGGTGGGAAAGAAGCAGGAATAACGCCAATTCTTCACTCTTTCGACAAAATGAATATCTATGATGAATCAAGAGGAGAAAAACAGAACTTATCGACTGGATCGCGTGATGGACAGCTCTCCTTGCTTCCCACCGGAAGCCATGACCAATTTTCTGCAGAACCAACTCCCCCAATATCCATTAGTTCCCAAGAGAACCCTGTATCACGTTCGAAGTCTTTTGTCACCTTGAAAGCCAAGGAGCACACACTTAGTGGCATTGGTGGTAAACCATCAAATCAGAGTGGGTACACTGAAAAAATCTCCTCTGCCACTTCTGCAATTGTTGACAAAGCAAAAGCTGCCACAAATGTCATGGCCTCCAATCTTGGATATGGAGAGAGAGACAATAATAGTAAAGAACATACAATGACACATGAAGGACAAGTACAAAATGCTGCGAAGCCAGCATCGACAGTTGAATATGGAAAGAAAATTGCAACTGTGACTGAGAAACTCACTCCACTGTATGAAAAAGTCGCTGGTGTAGGCAGTACTGTAATGTCAAAACTCCATGGCAATACAAATGCTAGCACTAATACCAGCAATGAAGCAGAAAGCAGGATTGAAGGGAAAGATAAAGGGGTGTCAGTGAAGGACTATTTCGCGGAGAAGCTGAGGCCAGGAGAAGAAGATAGGGCGCTTTCTGAAGTTATTTCGGAGACTTTGAACAAGGGAAAGACTGAGACAGGGATGTGGAAGAACGGTAGGCCAATGGGAAAAGTGACAGACTCAGAGGAGGTGGAGAAAAGTTTAGGTAGTGAAGAAGAGAATTCTGACGAAATAACGGATTCGGTTTCTGTGCATATTCCTGCCAAGGCTGTGGCTGATAAGCTCAAAGGTGCTGTTGGTTCTTTGTTTGTCAATAGTGAAGAATCTAGGGAATCTCAGCAGCATCCACTTTGTTCCACCAATGCTGGTAAGAATTAAATACTATCTTGAATTGGGTTTGAAAATTCAGCTTTCGGGATAAAATCTGAAAATTAAGACTTAACTGGTTGTTTGTGATGATGCTTTTTGGTGTTTTGGGGTTTGCAGGTGCTGAAGGGTTTTCTTCTACCTATGCTAGTGGTGAAGAAATAGGAGAGAGGAGACTTCAAGAGACAGGGAACTGAGGAACATGCAATGGCTAGTAATCTTAGAGAGACTCTGTGCGTTTTACATGGTTTCTACTAGTTGGGAAAATGTTGTTTTTCTTTGGTGTTGTGTTGATAGAACTGTAATGAAACGGTAATGGCAGGCACTGCATGGATGTATAAATTGTTGTGGTCTGTGAAAAATATGGAATTTGATGTTTATTAGCTTTCAAGATCGTTAACATGCTGGAGTTAGGTAGAAAAATCCAATTTCTTTTAGACTTTGAGACAGCTGAACACAGATTACTCAAATTAGGGATGAAAAAAAATGAGATTTTGAGTTTGGATTTCTAGCTATAGTTTCCAACCTTACAAGGTCAACAATTAAACCCGAAATCCTAGTTCTAACGTGGAGTAATATGTGGTAAGTTTCTTAAGGGACCTTTCCAAGAAAAAATCGGTGGCCTCCTTCCTTCATCCCCTTGAATTTGGGATTCTGTTTGCTGACTGCTTGCCCTCCCAAGCAACTCATCTATATAAGCTTTTTCCCTCACAATATACACTAACACCTAGGCTGTGCGTGAGATTAGATTGGTGAAGTTTGAAGAAAGAAGCAAGAGCACAGCTATCTTGAGTGGATCAGTCTCATTATCATCGCTTATTGAACAACTGTGTTGTATCATAACCAGAAGAAAACGAAACAAACTTGCTGGACAGCATGATTAATTAGAAGCCATGGAAAATTCTCTCCAGAACCTACTCCTCCTATACCTTGACTCCATACCCTTCAAAGTCAAGACACCGAGAACACAGGCATAGTGAGATTCCTGTTAAACTATCAATCTATAGCAGCTACGTACGTACACAGCAAAAATCTCTGCTGCCACGTCTGTAATCGCTGATAAAACAAAATCTGCAGAAAATATTGTTACTTTCATCAAGCTTGGACATTGAGAGAAGGACCAAACTAAGAAACAAGACATGCAAGGACAAGACACCGTGTGGAGTTTCTTCTGTAGGCTGTACTGTGATGGCAAAATTAAGTCCATGGCAGTGGCACTACTGGTGCTTGCACAAGCACTAGCATTGAAGAAGAGGGTGCGATTTGAAAGCAAGTTTTCAGCTTCTACAGCACACCTAATTATATGGCCACGTAAAGTCATGGAGCCTTTGTAAATTTGGTAATGATTCGTTCTCAAAAAGTGATTAGCACATGTTTATCGCATGGAAATGTGTTGCTTCGCCTGAGCTTTTTGAGCGACACGTACAGTATTTCTTGACGGTCAAATGTTGATGTTGAGTGGACGGTTCACTACGACACTGTACATATTAATTAGCTTCCATAAAATTAATTGAATCTTCATGAATTCTTCTCTTTTCTTTTCTTTTCTTCTCTTTTCTTTCTTGATTTATGCTTTTGACTTATAAAGTTTTAAAACAATCCTTCATTTTTTTTTCTTTGGATTTGGTCCATGTTCTTTTTATTATTATTTTTTATTTTAAATAATTCATAAAGAAAAGTGATTAGTACATGTTTATCGCATGAAAATGTGTTGCTTCGCCCGAGCTTTTTGAGCGACACATACAGTATTTCTTGACGGTTAAATGTTGATGTTAAATGGACGGTTCACTGCGACACTGTACACATTAATTAGCTTCCATAAAATTAATTGAATCTTCATGAATTCTCCTCCAGGGTATATGGCAAATACCTCCAATCTGATATCGACAATCTTTTCTTTTTTTTTCTTTTCTTCTCTTTTCTTTCTTGATTTATGCTTTTGACTTATAAAGTTTTAAAACAATCCTTCATTTTTTTTTCTTTGGATTTGGTCCATGTTCTTTTTATTATTATTTTTTATTTTAAATAATTCATAAAATTAAAATTTCTTTTTAATTTCACCGTTCTTTGATTTTATCATATGTCATATTAAATCATGTTCTTTTGATTGCTATTTATTTTTTAATTATTTTTTTTAATTACACCCCTCAACATATGATTTTACTTAATTTTTATGTAAATTTTATCCTTATTCCATTAATTTCTATTTATTTAGATTTTTTTTATTAGAACTTTCTTTTTTAATTTTATCCCTTAATATTTTATTAATTAGAAATTTAACTTCATAATTTTTTCATGTTTTTTCTCTATGGGGTAATTTCAATCCTAAGACTAGAGTTATGAATTTGAAATATGAGATCATGTTGACTTTGGTATTTTTTAAGGTCCTTTTTTACTATTGATTTTTTTTTCAATTTTATTTTTAGATGTTAGATTTGTTAGATATTAGGCTTATTTTTTTCTTCTTCTTTGTGAGGTTATCTCAATTTCATATATCAGGTCGTGGGTTTGAAGGGTTAACCCAAATTAACTCAACCTAATTTTATTTTGTTTGATTTATTTGCTATTATTGTATTTTTTTATTATCATATCATTAAATAAAATGACCTTATTAGATTCAATTAAGTTAATGACCTGACTTTCATATTTCTCTTATTTATTTTAAAATGCTACCATCACCTTAGCAACTTTTTTTTTTTCAAGTAGAAAAAGTTAAGGAATTGAGCTTTTTAATTTAGTTTGAATTTAGAATTTAATGAATTATTAGTTTGAGAGATTAGTCTAAATTTAAGAAATTCACTTGAATTTATTTAGTTTTTTTAAACTTGTATTTTTTTAGTTTTATCATTGAATATTTATATGATTATAAATTAGAGTCAGATCTTTTTATTTGTTATTCTTTTATTGAATTTACTTTGGTAAATTTTTTAGATTGATATTTCTTTTCAATTTCATCTTTAATATTATATTAATTAGAAATTAATTTTTTTTTAGTTCAATCCTTTAAGGTTTGAGGTGTTTTTATATTGGGTTTAATGATTTTCTTTCTATTTGTTTATTCCTGTCCTTCAATTAAATTGTGAGTTTGGCAGACTGACCTGAGTTGACTTTGATTTTTTTAGGGTTGTTTTTTGTAGATTTTAATATTTTTTTTTATGTTTTGTCTTTCAGTATTATGTTGTTTTAGAATTAAGTTTCGTAATATTTTTTTTTTAATTTGCATTATATTGGGTTATTTTATTCGTATAGCCTAGGACGCAAAATTTGGCTGGCTTGTCTAGTTTGCTGGATATATTTTAATTGTTTTTTATTTTTTTTTTAATTTCATCATTATACATTGAATTTGTTTGGAATTGAACTTTAATTTTTTTTAAAATTTTATTTTTATTAGTTTATCATAATCTTATAACATACCTTACATCTTTGATACACTCATGTATGTTGGTCTAAGTCATTTTTTGTTCTTTTTTTTTGAAGTTTTTTTTCTTCTACATTTGATTGGCTAGAATCTTAATTTTATTATTAATTTTTTTACATGTTTCCATGATGTTTTAAAATTGATGCATTTATTATCATTATTTTCTTATTATCTAATTAAATTATAATAATTTTTTTCTCAATTAAATTTATGCCTCGAATTATTTCTTTTTCACTTTTTAGCCTTCTCTTATGGTTTTCCTCTGCAACGACCACTCCTCTCATTTTTCCAGTAACCATATAATTGTCATTTTATCCTACTCAAACCATTATTTTCAGCCTTGCATTCCTTCACTCATAACCCTTTCTGCCGACAGATCTCCATTCAGCCGAGAATCAAACCAACAGCCCCCTCGCCAGCTGATTCCTTCACCACCAGTCGCAGCAACATCGTCCCCTCTTCCCAGCAGCGGTGTCCTTCTGGAGATCCAGCGATTGAAATCACTACACATTTTGATCCAACCGTGCATTTCCCAACACCCCGCACGCAGCCTTCTTTTTCAACCGAGACCTGCCCATCACCTCCACTCCATCACAACAATCCACAACCATTCAGGTTGCCCCCTCCAGACCGAAAATAATATCCCTCTCTCATTCCTAGCAGCAGCCGCTCAAGGAAGAAGATTTTTTTTTTATTTGTTTATTATAATCTCATGATATGATTTGTGTATTTGGCATATTTATTTAGGTTAGCTTAATTTTTTTTTCTTTTTCTTTTTTGTAGTTTTCTCTTCTCCGTTCGATTGAATAAAATCTTAGTTTCATTATTTTTTTGTTTTGGTAATTATTTTTTAAAATGTTCCTGTGATTATTTTTTTAAATTTATCTATTTATTTTTGTTATGTATTCTTTTATTATCTAATTAAATTATAATAATATTTTTTTCTCAGTCAATTATACTAAGTTGTTTTTTTTAAAAAATAATATGTGCATTGTTTAAGCAACTTTTTTTTTAATAATAATAATAAAAAAAATTGTTCTAGGCTGTGCCGTTATGGAAACCCACAAATTAAATCATTTATTTAATTTTCTTGATGAGAAACTATATTAAAAAAAATTATGAAAATATAGGAATAATCGAACTAATTAATCCATGTCCAAACTATAAAATCTTGTAAAAGTTTAAGGGTGTTATTAGAAATATAGTAGTTGTTTAAAGTATTTTTTATTTAAAAATATATTAAAATAATATTTAATTATTTTTAAAAAATTATTTTTTTAAACCAGTTAATCAAAACTATTTAAAAAACTAATAAAAAACTAATTTTAAATAAAAAAATTAAATTTTAAAAGAACTACTATGTTTTTATACATATTTTAATTCTAAAAACAATTTTTAATATTTTTTTTTTTTTTGTAAAAAACTGATTTAGAATCTATCAAATACAAAGCGTGTGCTGTGAATTGAATGGGTTGAGTTTTGGATCAAACCAAACTTTTTTTTTTTAAATCCAAATATATAATAGCTAAATTAGAATAATTTTAATTTAAAATTAATTAAATATTTAATATAAATAATAAAATCATAACTTGATTATCAAGAAAGATGGATCTCATTAATTATAATTAATGTGTATTTGATAACATGAAGTGCTTTTATAAAAATGATTTTAAATTAAAAATATATTAAAATATATATTTTTATTTTTAACATTAATATATAAATTAAATTATTAAAAATCATGATTTTTCAAAGTAAAAAATAGTTAAAAAACATAAAATTAGGTTAAACCACTTTCCAAAGGAGAACATGTGATAGGTTTCATTGAATAAAAATAGTATATAAAATACTATTATTTTTTAAATTATTAATACAATAAAAAATATAAAAATTCCATAAATGGGAGACAAATAAATTTAAATTCAATAAATAAAAAAATAAAAAAAATATTAATAACTAAAAAGTTATTATTAAACACATAAAAATATCATTAAGTGAGAAAAAAAAAATCCAAAAAAAGGGAAAGAAATATATTAATTGTCCAAAAAATATACATGAAGGAGTCGGATTTTCCGTTCTCAAGTAGTAACCAGATCAAACTCCTGGTCTCCGTTCGTGGCTTGCTATGATCAGTCTCTTGAAGTGACCTGTTTTTCTGGGAAAAAGCTCTCCTCAGTTCACCGCCGTCCTCACTGTTGCAATAACGCAAACAACTTGCTAAAGGACTCAAAAGACTTGATCTTTTCAACAAATAAGTTAGACCCAGGTGAGTCCTCAGGTTTTGCTCATTCTTCTAAGTCCTCTTTGGGTTATTTTGATTGAACTTGCCTTGGCTCCATCTGTTTCATGAGCATTGGCTATAAAGATAAAGACCCTTTGCTTGTTCAATTGAGTTGTTTCAGTTTGATGGGTTTTTCTCTATTGGATTATAGAAGGAGATTCGAGCTCTATCAGTTGGAAAGTTCCAGTCTTTTGGTTGGTTTCTTGGACTTGTTGAGTGTTGTGAGGTTGGTGAAAGAACGGGTCTAACAAGGTCAAACAATGAACTCTGTAGCTTTATTTGGTACGAGGGTAGTTCATAAATCATCATGCTTTCTTTTCATTTCGAGAAAGTTATGTGATTGTAGTTTTGATGGTTGTGATAAGAATGATAATTGGTTTCAATACGTAGAGGAACCTTTAAAGAGAATGTATTAAAGTTCAGATTTTGATTCTTTTTTGAGAGTGGAAGTTGTGTTGAGGAGTATTTCTTGGTTGGACGTAGTTATTTTGAGAGCACAAGAATTGATGCTTATAGAGTTCTTGATATTCTAAGTCGAGATGGCCCTGGATTTGATGCAAAAAGGGCTTTAAGTGAGTTAAAGATAAGGGTTTCGTGGCTTCTTGTGAGGGAAGTTCTTACAGGATTTTTGAGGAACATTAATGAGGAGAATAAAACCAGGTGTGCTAAATTGGGTTTTTCATGTGGTCTGATCAGCAGGGAAATTACAAGCACACCGGGAATACGTATCATTTGTTAATGAAGATATTTGCACAGTGTGAGGAGTTTAGGGCAATGTGGAGACTAGCAGATGAGATGATTGAGAAGGGGTTTCACACTACAGCACAGACATTTAATAGATTAATTTGTACTTGCGGTGAGGCTGGTTTGGCTATGAATGTCTTGGAAAGGTTCATTAAGTCAAAAACATTCAATTTTAGGCTGTACAAGAGTTCTTATAATGCAATTCTGCATTCACTGCTTGTTTTGCGTCTGTAGAAGTTGATTGAGTGGTTATGTCTGTATATGTTGGATGAGCATCATTCCCCAGATGTTCTTACTTCTAATGTTATTTTTTTATGCAAAATGTAGATTGCTTGATGAAATGCTTTGGTCATGGAATTTTTCCAGATTTTCATACCCATAACATCCTTCTACATGTTTATGGAAAGACAGACAATCCACTTGCTGCACTTGAATGCTATGAAGGAGTCAGGTATTGACCCTACCGTTCTTCGTTACACTACGATGATAGATGGACTGAGTTGGGCTGGGAATTTACTCGGCTGCCAGTATTTTTTTGATGAAATGATAAAAACTGGATGCATGCTAGATGTTGTTTGTTATACTGTAATGATCACAGGATATATAATGGCAGGTGAGCTTGAAAAGGCTCAGGAAATGTTTGAAGACATGATATTCAATGGCTAATCACCAATGTATTTACTTATAATTCTATGATTTGAACTGTATGGCTGGGAAGTTTGAGTAGGCATGTTCCATGCTCAACTAAATGGAATCTAGAGGATGCAATCCTGATTTTCATGTTTACAGAACCCTAGTAAGAAATTTGTGGAATGCTGGAAAGCTTTCTGAAGCTCATGAAGTGATAAAGCAGATGATAGAGAAAGGGAAATACAGCCATCTAGTCGCAAAGATCAAAGGATACAAGGGATGCTGAAGTGGCACATTCTGTACCATGGATAATTTTCAATCATAACTTTCTGGGAAGATTCGCACGATTTAGCTCAATTGATGCCCTTTACCTGCTTGCAGTAATAGATTTCATGGAAATTAGGAGGGTAAAGTATGCTTATCTTTTCTCCCTTGTCATACTTACTCCACAGCATAATTGAGATATAATGGAAAGCCTAGTTTTGAAAAACTTCTGAGAATCATCAGCTTCTTGCGATGCTTTTCCTTATCATAAATTTGACGTGTTCTAGTTGTATTCATATAATAATTTTTAAGTTATCATTTCATTTATGTGCATCTTATCATTATGACGATGCAGTATGATATATATACATATACATATATATATATATATATATATATATATATTGTTATCATATCTACCAGGAGCTGGTGATAAAAAGCTCTTTTGTCACTCAATCTGTGTTTTGAAATCTGATGTCTATACTGTGAACCATTGATCATTTTGTGGCTGGAAGATGACCATGCCCTTTTTTGATAAGGGAACAGCATAAAAATATAGACCTTGGAAGTTTTAAAGAATAGGAATGGATGTCAAGCTCCTGCTAAGTTTGTCTAATCAATGCAAAATTCTTCTGGCTTTTCTTTGCGTTAAAAGAATAATGACGACGACGACGACGGAACAAATAAATTTGGGTAATGCAGTTGCGTAAGAGTTGGGGTAATGCAGTTACATGAGAAACCTTTCTGACTTTGTTGGTGTTGCCATTTCTTCTTAAAGTTTTCAAGTGGATCTGCTCTTGAATGCTGAGTACCCACTTTTGTACTAGTTTAAGAGTGGATCTTGAAGATTTCTATCAAATATCAGTTATTGTTTCCTTTTCCTTTCCTTTCCTTTTTTTTTTTTTTTTGGTTTCTTATTAGGTAGTTTTTTTCTAATAGCAACCTGAAGTTAGGTGCCTGCAGAGTTTGCACTCACTGGCTTTGTGTCCAACTCTCTATGAAAGATCACATTCTGATTATTTGACAGTTCTTGATTTTCATCGACTTCTCTTGTCTGGCTAACATTTCACTTTATCACCTTCAGATTGGATAAGTGCGAGAGAAGAGTTAAGAATTGAAATATTTAAGAATGTAGGGTCATATTAGCATACAATCATATCTCTGCTATAACAGCACAGCAGAAAATTGGCTCTCCAACCTTCTAGAGCTTGAGTCTCGTCTTTTTTGCTGCCTATAACAGCACAGCAGAAAACTATCTCCATTCACTCCTATTGCTATTGTTATCATGCATGTTTGCCATGTTATAAGATGGGACTGGGAATCCAGAAATAGCACATATAGATGTGTGTATCGGCATTCATAATCTTGCTGGACTCGTATATGAAACAGTGGGGTGGGGGGCAGCACACCTGTTCTTGCCTATCTATTGCCATTTTAATAGTTATGAAGGCCAAAGCTTTGTTTCTAGTCAACTAGCATGCTCAGTGACGTTACCACCCCCATTAATTATATCGTTTAGAGCCTGACAAGACAAAAACAGATTCAATTCTCCTTCATTTACAATGAAAATACTCCCACTTGGTGCCTCAGGTATCTCTTTTTCGTCTGGTATTTTCTGATTTATGGATCCAGCAAATGCTTCCTGCGTCTTATTGTGCAGCTACTGTTTAGTACTTTTCATCTTTTTCTCTAGGTCGTCAAAGATTGTGGTCATTTCGATATATTGGTTTGCTTAATGGTTAAGAAATTGGGAGAGCTGGGTAACTCCTCCATGGCACCCCACCTGATATAAGTTCCATCGGACGGTGTTTAATAACACTACCATTGAACATGTTAAGAATTGATATGAAATATTAATATTGCACAGAAATCCGAGAGCACATAGCATAACCTAGTCTTCTCACGACACCAATAACATTGATAATCCATAACCTTTATTCCACCTTGATTTATAGGCATGGCTAATCAAATGTCTCTTGATGCTTTCTAATTTTCATGTCTACTTATATATAACTACAAAATACGCGTGCATGCATATATACATACATACATACATGTCACTCTCAAGCACGATGCGTCTCCCTCGTAAACTATGAAAGAAGAACGATGAATTCTCCACCTCTTTTTATGACCTTTGAAAAAGTTGTGCTTTTCGCCTGTCCTTTTGTTACTTTTTTTTCCTGGTGAAGGTATCGTATGGAGCATGCATTGCAGAAGATGAAGTTAAGCTTTCATTTTTGATGGACAATGACCCTTTAACTAATAGGTAGAGGAAATTCGATCATTAGACCAGACTTTCATCATCTGGACACTTACATCCATAACCCATTTGCATAAGTTACATCTCTAAGATGCCCAAATTACACTCAACATTACTAATTAATATCGAAGAGAAGCCAAAAATTGATTCGGGCTAGCATAATACAAAATGCTAAAACAATAGGGACATACAGAGAGAAAAAAAAAAAAAACCCTTTCTGCTCGGCTTCTACCATGTTTTTTTGACTGTTTTGGAACAAAACAGAAAAGATAGAGAAAATAGGGTTTTTTCATGGGCAAAACTTCTCTTAAAAACTTATTACAGTATGATTTAGCTTGTAATAATTAAGCTTATAAATTAAGAGAAAAAAGAAAAATAGAAAACAAGAAGAAGAAGAAAGGGAATGGAATATTCCTGGTTTAGTTAATTACTTCTTCTCCTCTTTCTTTTCTCCCTTCTTTTCTTCTTTCTTCTCCTCTTTTTTCACTTCTTTCTTCTCTTCTTTTGCAGGTCCAACTGAGATTATGTCCACTTTCGCTACTTTCTTCAGCCTTCTCACCACTGCCACGGTATCCATCTGACCTATCACTGTTAGCTTCTGATCTTTTAGATCTGCTGCTATGGAATCAACTCCTGTTTATGTTCAAAAAAACTTGTTAAGCTCTGCTTTAATCTATCTCACCAACTCCAAAAAATAAATACAGACGGGAAAAAAAAGAGAAATGAAATACCATAAATATCAGCAGCAGCTTCTATAGCTTTCTGCTTTGTCTTTACATCAGTCATGGTCAATACCTTCAACACCACCTTCTGCTACCAAATAGGATATTAAAGAGAGCTTTTTTAAAAATAAGGACAATATCAACATGTATTGGACATGAAAATAAAGAAGAACTACAAGGTACCTGAGCCATTAGAAGAGAGGATTGAAGAAGAGAAGTATGAATACTTCAATAATTTGCGCTGAGCTTTGTATATAAAGGGTTTGAAGATGTGAACAGTGGTGCTATTATTTGTTTGTACTCTACAGGTGAAGGTGGTGGGTGACTTCATGCAGATATATTTGTGGAGATCCCTGGCAGTTTTTGACAAAAGTGAAAAAGTTAGCATGATGGACAAGTTTGAGCCACTTGATTGATTGGATTTGTCATTACATGTTATTTTCCTTCTTTTTTTAAAAAAATATTCTCTCGTTTATTTTTTAATTTATAGAGCAGGCATACGACCGATCATGTTATGTCTAGGGTTCTTAAGAAAATTTATCTTATTTTTCAATTTGATAAAATATACTTATATTTATTTTAGAGCAACCTCGTGTCAATCGATCCCCAATCTACTCATTAATTAATTTACAATTGGATCTCCAAACTAAAACATTTTTCAACCCGCCTCTAGATTATTTAATATATTTCTTATTTGATTCCTTTTATGCATATTTTTGCTTTAATGTTTTTGAATTATTTTATCCAATAAAATGATTATTTTCTATAAGGAACTTGATGTGGAACAATTACTCAGAATTTTATGGATCATATAGATAAAAAAAAATAGTCTAAGAAGTTATCCGAATAGGTAATTTAACTCAAAACAATATAATTTTTAATCTAATGGTTGAATTCAACTCAAATTTTATATAGGTGGATTCCTAAAGAAAATGGAACTATTCTTCAAATCCTATTCATGCTTAGTGAATCCAGATTGCTCAGATTCGTCGGACTCCATTCCAAAGCTCTAAAGAATGCATTCGAAATTAACTTTGACCCGTAATCTAGGCCTTTGCTTGTTGATTTTAGATTTTAGCTTAATTGTGTTTCCTTCTCTGTTGTTTTCTAGTCATTTTTTATGTTTGAAGTACTATTTAAACCTATCTTTTCAAATCTTATGGGACTTTTGCTAAAAAACAAATTAAAAAAAATACAAACATTTACAGCTTTAGTTGTGTTTTTTTTAAAAAATACAAACATTTACAGCTTTAGTTGTGTTCTGTCTGGTTCTAGGATTTAAACATGTATTAAACTCATATCAATTTGATCTTTTCGATTAAAAAATTATGGTGATATATTTTATATGGAAGAATCTCATTGATTGAAAAATATTTGATATATGGGAATGAAATTGAAAATCGTATGAGGTTTATTAATTGATTGTCCCTCCCTTAACTTGGGTTTGAACAATAACTCACTCTTTTTTTTTTTCTGTTTTTTTTTACAATTCAATACATATAAAGGTTAATCATTAGAGTTCAATAGGAAATTAATCTTGACTATAATAATAAAAACATATTTTTCCTAAAGCATAAACAATTACACCTCCAAATAAAAACCAAAAGGCTATTAGACTCCTTGGTAGTCAACTAACAATTTTCATCATGGCTTATGTGGGATTTACAAATGAAATGCGTTATGGCAACGGCGACGGAGACCTTGAAACCGTCACCTTGTCTGCCATCATATATATATATATATATATATATAGAGAGAGAGAGAGAGAGAGAGAGTTGGAGATGGAGAGAAGGAAGAAAAGTAGAGTGACATGAAAACTGGGTTGACAAGTTGAGAGTTGTGACCAAACTGGTTTCTCCATAATTGATTTACTCTTTCGGTTCTGTAGATTCTCTCTTCTTTCAAGGGGTTGAAACGAAGGATTGGGTACCCTACATCTACATGGTTAAAATGGCCCCTCCTCTTTTCTTTCTTCTGAACACTGAAAGACTTTTCCTTTTTCATACCCAATTATCATTACTAAAGCATCCGTTTACTTGCAGTTATTAGAATGTAGTAGTGAGGGTACATGCCGATATTGTATCTAATTTTCTCTTGCAAATGGTGTTCAATATTGCAAATTGTCAGGTATTTCAAACAGAAAGAATGGAGCTTTTTCTTGTGACAGCACCGGACATATTGATAGACACCTTGGAGCTAGCCAAAGAGACAGCCATTGAGACAAACAATCATCCAAAAGGGGTTGAGAAAGTCGGGCAATCAAAGCCAAAACCAAGTTTAGAACAAAAAAAAAAAAAAAGAAGCCAGAAACTGCAGCATGAACTAAAGAAGAATGCGAAGAACACCAAAAGGCTACATGGTAATGAAAAATTCAACGTGTTCTGTTGCAATTCTCTTCCTCTTGTTTCTGGTCACTGTAACCACTAAGATTAGTTTTTGTGATGCATTTCCAGCATGGCGTGTGGTCAGAGTGAGAGAGAAAAGGCACTTTTGAGGCTCAAACAAGTTATTATAAATCCTTAAAAAACTTGCTAGCTTCTCGGCCTGGTAAAAGAGATTATCGCGAGTGGGCTCAGGATGTCTGCCATAGCAGAACAAGTCACATCCGTAAGGCCCACCTTGTATTTCCTTACACATACCTGAAATGAGACGGACATGATTAAGGCAAGCACCCTCCCTTCTTTATCAGCATTTAAATTATCGTCTTCTAGTATCCTAGTAGATGCAGTGCCTGCACGATCTTTTGGGTTGTGATATATTTATATATTATTATGGGTTTATAAAAACAAAAAAAATATAAAACAAACTAGTGTTAATCTATATTTTTAACTAGTTTAATATTAAAAAATAAAATTAATAATTGTTTTTTAAAAATCATAACAAAAAAAACAAAAAAAATCATGTATAAAAACATTATAGCAAGTTAAAGTGTTTCATAAGAAAAATCTAGTTTTTTAAAAATCATAACAAAAAAAACAAAAAAAATCATGTATAAAAATATTATAACAAGTTAAAGTGTTTCATAAGAAAAATCTATAATTGTAATTCTCAACTAGTTTAATATTAAAAATAATAAAATCAAAATTTTTTTTTTTGAAAAAAATCATAACAAAAAAAACCTGGAAACACTGTAGCAAGCTAAAGTGTTTCATGAGAAAATCTATAGCTGTAATTCTCAATCAATTCAATATTAAAAATAATAAAATTAATAAAGATAATTTAAAAAAAAATCATAATAAAAAAATAATATGAGAGAACACTGTAATAATCTACAGTGTTTTAAAGAAAAAACTACGAAGCTAAATTCTCAACTAACTCAATATGAAAAAAAAAATCAACAAAGATAATTCTAAAAAAATAAAAAAATCATTAAAAAGGAAAAAAAGCTATATGAAGAAATACTGTAGAAACCCACAGTGTTTTAAAGAAAAAACTACAAAGATAAATTCTCAATCAGTTCCATATTAACAAAATAAAATCAATAAAAATAATTATAAAAAAATAGAAAAATAAACATGTGGGGAAAGTTAAAGTTAAATTATCAATCAGCTCAATATTTTAAAAAATTAATAAAGATAATTTAAAAAAAAACATGTAGGGAAATACGGTAGCAAAACAAAAACTATATGGAAAAACATTATAACAATCCACAATGTTCTAAACAAAAAATTACGAAGCAAAATTTTTAATTAGCTCAATATAAAAAAAATAAAATTAACAAAGACTATTTGAAAAAAAATTCATAAAAAAACATGTAGTGAAATACTGTAGTAATCCATAATGTTTTAAAGAAAAAAATTGCATAACTAAATTCTCAACCAATTCAATATTAAAAAAAAATTAAGAAAGATAATTTTGAAAAAAAAAACAATCTTATAAAAAAAACATGTAAAACCCAACAAAAAAGGAAAAAATATGAGTTAAAAAATATGGGGAAAAAGAAGAAGAAAGACAAAACACAAAAAAGAAAAATAAATAAAAAATTGAACAAAAAAAACATGTAATTTCCCACATGTTTTAGAGTATTAGTTAATGTAAATCTCTCATCTCCGACCATGTTCGATCCTTCCTCCTACCTTTTGTTGGTAACTTTTTGGTTCCTAATTTGTTTGTTGGAGTTGGACTTAACAATTTAATCTCTTTCAGTCTAGAAGCGCTCTTAATTTGCTTTTGGTTATCACTACGAATAAAGACTACAAGCACTAGCAACGAAGTTCAATGTTCATCTTTTTCACGTCACTGCACACAATCACTTGTTTACGTGCAGCACAGGCACAGCTGAAAACTTGCAGGTGAGTTCATGATCAATAGAACTGAAGTGTTTGAGCATGGGCGCACAAGAAAGTGTATTGGTTTTACAATGTGAGCATGGCACTTGGATTTGTGGTTAGCTTTTAGACCCTTTTTGACTTCTTGATTACTAACAGGAGATGGAGGCATATCTACTTTGAACTATCAATTTTTGGATTACGTGAGGTACAAATTCGAGGATGTTCTACGTAAGCTCTGCTAGATATTATCTGTTTCCTTGAAGTGTCGTGTTGTAGATTAGTTTCTATTTCTTTTCTTGACAGTTGCAGTACTTAATCTACTGTATCATATGCTTGTTATAAGATCAATCCTCATTTCAATATGAGAATGCTAGTTTATTTCATCAAGGCATCATATTATAGTGATATCTCATTGTGTTTTAGCAGCAGGAATAATAATGCATATCAAAACGTAACGCAGAGCACATATCTTAACAAGTATTGAACATGAAGAAATAATGCATAATATTATATCAAACAAGCTTAACATAAATCCATGCAACAAAAATTAGGACTAAATTAGAAGAATAAACATAAAAAAGTAAATAAATAAACAACACCCGAGAAATGAAATTCGTCAAGAAAGGCTGGCAGTTGAAGGAAGAGAAACAACAATGTCTAAAGAGCTCGAGACTTAATAATGTCGAAGCTCATTTCGCTAGGATCTGTTGCTTGCAACTCCACTTGAATGCCATCTAGTTCCCTCTTGAATCTGTCTTTGGAGCTTGCATAGACCATCTTACTTCGGATCCTTGATGTATCAGGTGACCTACAAAGGCAAAACAATCTAGTAATTCTGTGTCTGGTAAGCGTTTCACATGTCTTGTTCAAAAAAGTGACTCCAACAAGCAGGGAAGCATTAGCCAGAGTATCATGCATAGTTTGCTATATATTTTTGGTTTGAGCTAGGCAAATATAGGAAAGAAAATGTTAAGCAATTTGAGCAACTATGCAATTACCATGCAATGAAGAAGATTTTACTTTTCTGGCAATTCTCATTAGTTGTGAAATCATAATCAAAGACAGCGTAGCGACACTCATCAGCAGGGAGAGATGCAGCGAATTCCTCGTAAGTTTCTTCAGGGCTCCCAAGTTTCTCTACCACCACCTGCTGAGACTCGATCTTGAAAATGATGAATCGGTAGTTCCTCTTCGCCTTTAGTTCCAAGAACTTCAGCTTACATTCATCATCAACAGCCATTCCAGACGCCGCGTTCGCCTAATTAATCCAAATGTTTAATTGGAAAATATAAAGAGAAGAAAACAGACATGTATGGATCAAACAATTTCCAAGAAAACATATGAACCATCCTGCTCGATAAACACGCACGGTGGATTGAAATTACAAGGCATGAATCATTTGAGCTGCTGGATTCAATGAATGAACAGAAATGAAATCGATTTTTAAGAAATAGAAATGGCCTCGAATAAAAATTTGATGAAACGACAATTCCTGCTGAATATCCACATATTTGATCCAACATCGCATCATGCTAGGCTTCCATACAAATTAATGAAAGCTAGCAATGTAGAACTTAGAAGATTAATGACTCATGCTTTTCAGAATATCATAAGAACGTAGGAGACAAGGAGCATACCATGTTGACTTCCAATGAGAGCAAAAACCTCGTGAAAACTCAGGAAGGAAAAGGGAAATGGAAAGATGGGCGTGCAGAAGAGGAGAGGAGAGGAGAGGAGAGGAGAGGAGAAGGGGGTAAAGATCAGATCCTTGATTCGGGGTATACAATGAGGTCAGACAAATACGGGGAAGGTGAGAAATTTGAGGGACAAAACATGGGTTGACAGTCGTCTAATATTCCTAGGCTCATCGTGTCCACAACAACGGTTCCATGCATCAAAGACAGCAAAAATAGTAAGCTCTAAACAGATTAACGTTGCCACGTTATGCCTGTCTTCACAACCCCTCTATCACGTTTCAACTTGCCGCCCCCTTTTGTTTCTGAGAAAAAAATAAATAAAAATAGTGTGCTCTATTTTTAAGGGTTTGCATATAAATATAGTAATTTTTATCAGGGCATTGGTCAATGATCATTTAAAGGTTTTCTAATGGGAGTAATTTTGCTGGTAAATTATTTAACAGAGAATGGCAAGGCAGGGTTCCATAGAGTTGGTGGAAATCAAGCTGCTATTAGAAAAAAAGAAAAAAAAGATATACAAATTTATTTAACACTGCAAAAAATGATCATTAAAAAAGGAAAGAAACAAAAATTAATAAATTTATTAAGTACAAGCTATTGAACACAGCAATAAAAATAAAAATAATATTGATTCAACATAAGCCTTTTTAAAGGTACGATCATTCTCAAGAAAAAAATGCTATTTAGAAAAGTCAAATTGATAATATAGATTTTTTTAATAATATATATATATATATATTATTTTTGGCTTATGTACACCCTAATAATAAAAAATTATTTCAAAAAACTAATTATATTTTAATATATTTAATACATAATTATTTTAATAATTCAATAAGACCCGATTAATTTAATAATAATTTTAATAATTTTAAATCAATTCAATATTAAATAATAAAATAAAAAATAATTATTTTAATAATTCAATAAAACCCGATTAATTTAATAATTTAAAAATAATTTTAATAATTTTAAATTAATTCAATATTAAATAATAAAATGAAAAACAATAAAAAAATAAAAAAACTAAATTAACTAAAAAACCTTGTCAAACTGACAATAAAAAAACAAAAAAATTAAATTAACTAAAAAACCTTGTCAAACTGAAAATATATTCATGAAACTAAAATAATTTAAAAAAAAATAAATTAAAAAAAATCTCGTGAAAAATATTATTATAATAAATAATATTTTAATATTTTACAAATAAAAATAACATTTTGATAAAAGAAATAATAAAAAAACATTTTATTTAATACATTCCTTAAAGCATGTAAAGTACATATTAAAAAGCTGAAATAATATTTTTATTTTCAACTTTCCATTTAGGATCCCAAGGGAGATGCTCTAACACAGAACATAAAAGATAATATGAAAATAGGATATTAAAAATAAAACCTCCTTATTTTAGCAGTGTTTGGAATTACAATTGCACCATGCATTTAAGAAGATTAGAGTCTTTTTAAACTTTAAATTAATTATTTTTTAATTATTTTAATGTATTAATATAGAAAATAAAAATATTTTTAAAATATTTCTTAGTAAAATTATTTTAAAAAACAATCTCCACTATAATTTCAGACAAGATATTCATCTATTATTCATCTCAAGACAGTTTCTACCCGACAAAGTTCACTACTTTAGGACCTTGTTTCTTTTTTTGATCTTACATGAACATCATTTAATCAGAAGGACCAATTTTTGAATCAGATGACTTGTCTTCTGGAATGCTATGCATGTTTCCTGTCATAAAATCATCATCAAGCTCGTCTCCACTTACAAACTTAGTCACCCGCCTGGTAGGCCTTACTTCCCTTCCAGTAGCTGAAATTCGGAGATAAATAATGGGGTAAGTAAAACATGGCAAATTATATAGAAAAGAAGAATAAGAAAGGAAAGAAAGAACACATATGGTCTTGTAAGGAATATATATGCAGACAAGATTCATTTTCAAAAATTGTACAAGATCGTACTGGTCTGCAACCCATACCATATTTTTGACAATTCCCATATCAAGTCTCCTTTCCATGGAGCTCATGTTTCGCTCTGTGACCCAAACTGTGGGTTGACACATCATACTACGATTTGCATACGACTCTTTATCATGTTATTTCAGCCTCTATCTTATTACAGTAAGGCCACACAATTCATGGCTTCAACCAGCAGAACAAAGCATTTTTGATGAATTACTGTTATCAACCATTTCAATAGAGCACGGTGATTTGTGCCAGCTCCGGTGGCGTGTATCAGATTGTACAGTCAAAGCAGCTACCATTCTTGATCTAGCACTACCTATTTTCCTGTTTCCTATTTTCTCTTGTTTGTCTAATAATGTTTTACTATCTCATTATGGTCGAGAGTTATAGATACACCTGTATTCAAACTATTTCATTCACCATCCAAATACTCCAGAACTTAAAACAACATCAGCAATATACACTGCAAGGAGACAGGCTCTATGCCAATAAAAAAAAAAAAAACAAGTGTCTTCTGTTTGTCAAATTTTAGGTAACGAACTTATAAGCAGAAGATTTAAATAAAGACAGTTAAAAGCTGGCATGTTTTATGCTTACCTTCTTTGCCAGTGGCTGCAGAACCTCTCAAACCCTTATCAGGACAATCTCTAGCCAAATGTGTTACACCACCACATACTTCACTTCAACCACCCTTGTAAGAACCCGTGTATTTCTAAGATGTTGGAAATTAATGAATGTATAGTATGCCTAGATGGCTGAAGATGGAAGTCGATTGAGCATCTAGGTACCAGGCAAGTAGCACCACCATAAAAAAAACAAAAAAAAGAGCATAGCAGACTGCATTATGGCAACAGCAAACATTAAAATAGTGAATTTCCACATAGCTTCGGGTATATACCACGAGTATTTTTAGGGCAGTCCTTGCTCAAATGTCCACGTTCATTACAAATAAAGCAATTGGCAAATTTGTCCCCCCTGCATTATAAAAAGAAATAAATCACTTCCGTAATAACAACAGCATTGTCAACAACAAATGAGTTACCATGAAGGTCCAATTCTCTTAACAAAATCAGTGATTCCCGTGCTCAATTTTGAATTCACCCCCACTTAACAAGTCCTACCACTAGTAATTGAAAAGGTCTGTACATAATTAATCTATGAAACAGCTGATTCCAAAACCTAAAAATATTTATATAATAATTCCAATTCAGAGTCATTTTCATTATGCAATAAAAATAAATAAATGGACCACCACTTTTCCATAGACCAGAAAGAATGGTTCTGATTTACCAGCAGTCATGTTGCCCTCACCGACAAACAAACAATAAAAAAAATGTAGGAACTAAACAAACTGATAACACAATATCTTACACCAAGAAATGTCTTATTTCCATTGAAATTAATCGCATAAAGAAATCATTCAACAAGTCAGCCAAGCTAGAGCTATTTAAAATCCATTGAAAGATGATGTACCATCTTCTCTTGGCTGAGGACATTGAGAAAGCGAATGCCCTTTTTCCCCACAACTGTAACACAATTTCTGATCCATAGTCTCGTCATTCTTGTTAGGACAATGCTTGAGGCTATGCCCACGGTGCCGACAAAGCAAACATATCTGCAGCAATCATCATTAACACACAAAAACACCACCATCATTTTCTTCATTTAAATAAACAACACCTCACATTCAACCACAAAATCAAAATTTCAATAAGCAAAAAATCTTCAATTATAAACATATTCCACACCCAATATCCAATTCCAAACCTACTTTTCTTTAAAACCCACACCTATATCACTATTAAGAGCAAGAACCCATATCAAACTCAATAAAAAAGCACTTTTCTCTAACCAATCCAATACCTACCAGGTAACAAAGACTCAAAACTTTATAAGAATTATCTATCAAGCCCAGTAAAAAAAAAGAGGTAATGTTTTTTTCTCTAAAAAAATTCACAAGACTCAAACTTTCAGAGAACTATAAACCAAAAGCAATAAAAAGAACAAACCTTATTCCTTTCCCACTCAGATTTTTTAGGGAAAAGTTTGGCAATATGGTCTTTAGCTTTACAAATAAAACAACTATCACCAGGCTTCATACCAGGAACTCTAAGTGGGTGTCGTCTAAACCCTTTTTTATAAGGCTCCTTTGGGTCAGAATTTTTTCTCTTGAGCAAGCTCTTTTTCTTCTTCTTCTTCTTGTTGGGATCCTTGAGTAGTGTTGGTTCTGGTTTTGGATACAAATCAGGATGTTCCCCTTTGAATCTCTTTCGTGCTAGTTTCTGTATTTTGCTCACCATCTTGTCTTCAAAGTGTAGATTTTAAGCAGAACCAAAGAGGATGTTTTCAGAGGAACTTGAACTACGAGGAAGCTGTGCTGCGTCTTCGTGCAGGGTTTTACAGTGGCTACGTGTTCTTTTTTGCTGGTGACTGGTGGGAGATGGAGGAGGGGCTTTTGCGCTTTGCAGCAGATTTTATTTTTATTTATTTTGTTCTAGCTCCCAAGTCCAATGGATCAGTCAATTGTTGGGCCCAGATTATGGGTCACAACTCACAAGATTGAATCAAAATTCCTTCGGTGCAGAAAATGGCCCAAAGTCTAGAATTGCTTACATCCAAATTAGGTTTGTATTTTTCCGTATATAAACGTAGATATATAAGTCAGTGAACTATTAAACTATGATGTTTTATCATTTAAAAACAAGATAAAAATATCAAGATTTATTCATGGGGTACTGGAGGTAAAATATTTCGATTCAATAGACCTTAATATCCTAATATATATATATAAATAATTTCTTATATTTATAATTTTATTATCTTAGTATTTTTTTTCTAGTCTTATATGAATTGAGACATGTAGAGAGATTCCGAGACTTTCATGAAATAAAAAAACTTATTTAATAAATATTCATTGCCATCCCTGATAATAAAATAAGGATACCAATGCCACGAAACTATGAACCTTCTTATTATTTTACCACAAAATAAAAATTACCCAATTATAACTTTTAAATTTTCTGATAACCATTTTAATTTAAAAACTTAAACTATTAAGTAAGATTTTATAATATAATTTATATTATTCTTTAATATAATCTCTCAAATAAAAGCTCTTTAAACTTGAAACTTATATAAATCTACATTATTTTATATTTAATTTTTATTAAATAAATAACCATTTGATCATTTGATCATTAAAGCCCTAATACCATGTCAAATAACCATTTTAACCTAAAAATTTAAATTATTAAATAAAATTTTAAAATAAAATTTATATTATTTTCTATATTTTTCTAAGTTTAAGGTACGTACAAGCTGTATTTTTGTACAAGCTATATTTTTGCATTGAAGCAACAGGCCACCATTAATTACCATTTGATATTTCACAAGTTTAAAAATTGGATTATTACAAGACTGATATTTCACATTCATGAAGGAACTCCGAGTAATTGAATTCTCATTGACATATCTTTATAACCAAACAACGTGACTATTTTTTGCCATAATAAAACTCATTCCCAGACCTCCTCTAGCTTTCAGCCTGCTAGATAGAAAATCCCAACTCATCTCATAGAATTTTTTGGAATTATCTTTGCAAATAGACAATTTTCTTTGCAACAAAATTGGATATATAACAGAGAGGAAGATTACACAATATTAATTTTAGTAAACAAAGTCTTCTATATACCTACATATAGCATCCTTCCTTTGACTTGATCTTCTCTACAACTAGTTTCCAAGTGAAGCCAGCAAACCACTGTATTTGCATCTCAAAGCATCAGCTATAGTACTTGAGTTAGTATATTCTTATGGAAATTTATTTTAAATTTTGAGCATAACTGAAACCAATGAAGAGTGATTTTAATATTCTTAAGGACCTGTAAATATACATATTATTGAGACAAAAATTCAATGTATCATCAGGTACTGCAATTCATAGCTTGTTATATGGAAAGCACTAATATATATATATATATATATGGGGTATATATTGACAACGCTAATCTTTTGGTTGTAGTGTCAGTTATCCTTAATATTATAAATTTTATGGGGCTGATAAAATACTCTATTAAACGAGAGTGTCATTATCAAATGCCTCTTGATCATCTTGAGCTTTCTTGTTTATAAAACCGTTGGTCGATTGTATATAGTCTTGCTATAGTTATTATTCGATTTTCAATTTAAAGTAGATTATAGAAAAATAATTCTTGTGGATACATCCAAATATAAAAACAATTTCCCATTTAAACCCTTTTAAAAAACACGATCCATGCTACTTTGTCTTCATGCAATGCTCAATAATGCTTGCTAAGCTTTCCTGGTGACACTAAAGAAATTGTGTATCGTAATTAATTAGTTTACCTTTTAGGTTTTAGATTTATTTTCTAATCATTATAAATTTAAGTCTTATAAATTTAAGAATCATTAAAGATTTATATAATTATTAATTTTAAAACTTATAATATTAGTCTAAATACACACTAAAGAAATTGTGAATCATAATTAGTTTACCTTTTAGGTTTTAGATTTATTTTCTAATCATTATAAATTTAAGTCTTATAAATTTAAGAATCATTAAAGATTTATATAATTATTAATTTTACAACCTATAATATTAGTCTAAATATACATAAACTAATCCACACACCTACATTAATAAAAATAAAAACAAAACCCGAAGAAATTGTGCGTGATTTTAAAAACAATCAAAAAGGTTAATGAACACCTATACAACTACAAGCCCATTTGTGGTGACGACCCCATCTGATCAGCATACAACAATACTGTCAGTTTCATTGTAATTATCGAGTTAACATAATTAATTTAGATTTAAAAAAAAAAACTAAAAGATGTCATTTTAAGATTTTGAGTATGAATTGTGGGTAAAATACGTTAATTTAAGTCAACTCAAACTAAAAAACTTGAAATAACATTATTATTTTAAAGAAAATTGAAATTTCTTTCACTAACCCAGTCTCATCTGGATTTCAAGTTAGCAAGTCTACAAACAACCTGTTAGGCTTAACCTTGTATGATCGAATATAGCATGATAGCATCAGGCATCAGTGTTCATCAGGAGATCCCAAGACATGCGTCATGGCTCCAAGAGCCATCACCGGCTCCATTCACGGTTTAAAGAGCCATGACATGCTGATGACAACCACGGCCGTCACTTGTCAGAAGCTAGCCATGCAAAACTCTGTTGATATGGGCGACTGGTTGCGTTTGGTAGATAGATATGTGCAAACTGAATAATATCAATATCTAGTCTAATTATGATTTGTTTTGACTTCATATATTTAATTTGTAGTCAGACATTTCAATATAATTAACTAGAAGCAAGAGGTTGGCTTGAACTAATTAATAATAAATTAATTAATAATTCAATTGGAAAATGGATGTATAATCAAAACAAGTTTATTAATTATATATTGGATACAATATTCTTATATCTGTATGCGTTGCTCATAGGCAAATTCAATCATATAAAAATAATACAAAAAACACACCCAAATCTACCTATAATTAAGAACATCTGGGCAGCACCTTGATGTGATTCAAATAACTGGCACAGCACACACTAGTGTATATATATATATATATGCACACGAAATACTACAAATGGTGGACTACTCAGGCCGGCCGGCTACTGAATTGGTGCACTCCCTTATTGTACTTGTTTGCTGCCTAGCTAGTATATATCTAGGGCCACACACAACATGTATACTCTTGATTCCTTTCCTAACTTCCCTTTCAAAAGGTTTAATTATAAGAAGGTGACATTGCTGGGGCAACTGTGTACTTTACAGGTTCCACTGGTGCTGGGGCAACTGAGTACTTCACTGGTCCTGGTGCAACAAAACCAGAACTTTTGATATCAGCCATCAATCCTCTTCTTGCATTTCCTTCTTGTGCCTCGCATAATTTGGGGAGAAACACTCCTGACAAAACAGAGAAAAGAATGGTGTAAGTGGCATGCAGTCCTGATTACCTGTGCTCCGTTACGATTAGTTTATTGAAATATGACGGACGATGGACATGTTTGTTATTTACCTTCAGCAGCAGCAAGGTTGAAGTAAAGATCGATAACGTTAGGGCAGCTATCGTAGCACTGAGGGGAGCAAAGTTGTTGTGCAAAGCTAGACTCGAGGAGAGAATCTGTTGAGATTCCAAGGGATTTTCTGTCAAGACCACATGCTTTGATGCATTGGTCTGTCTCAATCCAGTTCCTTAATCTATCAGCCTCAATTTCAGATGTGCGACAAGTGTATGCTTCTTCCCCGGTCCTTTTCACGCGTTTCTCGAGCACGCAACGCTTGCCGGCCGATGAGATTGCATAGGCACATGTGTCTTGGTCAAGATGTTCACATGCTATTTCTCCTGCAACAATAACACCATTATGATCAAGTAATTTGCTAAAGAAAATCCAAGAACATCAAGAAGGGCTGCTAGCTAGCTTCTAGCAATATTGCCAGAGAAAGAGAGAACGAAACCTTGCTTACCTAGAGTACCTTGCACACAGATGGCAAGGACAATAGCCAGGACTGACAGAATTCCGAAGCTAGAAGCCATATTTAAGCACAGTTTTGGTTAAAAACAGGAAGCTGGTGCCCGATATTTGTTAATAAGGCTTCAAAAAGTTGGCGAGAACTTTTGTGTTTGTCCAAGGAGGAGTCAGTTGTAAGGAATGAAGAGATGGATGTGGGGGCATTTATACTTGCTCAAGGGCACTGTGGAATATTGGAAAGCAGTGTCAGGAATGTTGCTGTAACGGTACTGTCACTGTTAAAGAATGTGTTAATGAAGATTTTGGTCATTGGTGTTGACCCCACAATAATGGGGTTTCGTGCCGCAAAGGTCGTTAATTTCACTGTTCCGAAAAGAAGTTGTATTTACCAGTCAAAGATGGCCGAAATCAAAGGCGGGTGTGTGACTCTTACCATGAACATGATCGATGATTTTGGAAGTATAAGTTCTAACTTTGGCTGTATCAGTGGTAGCCGCCGGTTCGAGAACTGCTGATCATGCTGCTAACTGTCGAGATAGTGAGAGCTGAGGGCTGCTGCAGGGACGGAATTATGATTTTATGCATGGGGGGCTGCTATGTGCTAATTAATAGAAGATATATTAGGATTGGTATACATTGGAAAATACAATGAATATAAAGTGATTATAGAATAATGTATTAAATTAAGCTTTGGAGGGAATAAAATAATGCATTTTTTTTTAATGAAGGAAACCTTAATTAAATTTAAGGGTATATTTGAAGGATATTAAAATTCTTAGGACTATAATTACAAATTTGTCAAACTTTTAGGGGTGCTGGTCCGGTTGATTGCATAAAAATCTTTGGTATGGTATGTTAACGATCTGACGTAAGGGTTAATTACCGATTTGACTAATTAAAAACCAAAGCAATATATATATATATATATATATATATAAA